TGTGTGTGTGTGTGTGTGTGTGTGTGTGTGTGTGTGATGGGGAGGTATTTGGGTGGGATGGGAGGGAAATGTACGGTGGTGCAGGGGAAGTACCTTTGTAATAATGAGAGTAGTAAGGGGGGGAAGGGAAGATCTGTTACAATGAGGGTATCGGTTGATTGTGGTAAAACTTGCGTGGAGGCGGACTCTTTCAAATTGAGGAGAGCAGCAATAATGGTATTGAAATGCATGAATTTATCAGCACTGCATCGCGCTGCTTCTAATAAGCACAGTTATCGTCCATTCCTGCCTTTTCCGCTCAATGCAAAAGGAAAGCCTTCCTTTCTGTATTTATTGTAGTAGGTAGTAGTAGTAGTACTGGTAGATAGTAGTAGTATGTCTCATCAGAATTGCAGCACTTCACTGCAATGTTTTGTCGAAATAAAATTGAAATCATACTTGGCAGACACACACACACACACACACACACACACACACACACACACACACACACGCAGACACAATTTACCGCACCAACTATCCATTTCTCATTTTCAGTTTTCGAGTCATCATCGTTGTGTGCTGTTGAGACAGCCTTGCTACCTTAGTTATACATTATGGTAGAATGCTGTGTGCGTGTGTATGTATGTGTGTGTGTGTCTGTCTGTCTGTCTCTCTGTCTACATGTATATACATTCATGCTATTCAGTATAATCTATTTGTTTTTGTAATTATTATCGAAATTAATTATCTCCAGCTTATTCGTAATCCGCGCAACATCAAAATCACATATCATATAACATATCATCCACCTGGGTAATGTACAAAGTGTTACGTTCATATTCGAAGAAGACGGAACGTAAGCATGAATTAACACGTTCAAGTGGTGAAAAAGTTAATGGTTATTCGGCAACTGATGGCTCATCTCCAATCTATAGTATATCACCATCATATGGTGGTACAATTGTGGAAGATGTACGTAACGGTCAAATTGTTCCAATAGATAGAAATGGACGAATTGAAGCAGCATGGCCTAGTGGACAGGCATTCTCGGAGAGTTCTTCCTATGAAGCACGAGAACATTTTGAGCGTAAAGTTCAGCGTGTTAAGAAAACACGCGGTGAACGAGATAGTAATCGGAAATCGAAAAAGAGCAGAGTTGGTTCTTCTATTTCAATTCTGTTTTTCTGCCGCTAAAATATATCACTTCAATTATTCTCCGATGTTAAGATAGCTTTGTTTGTATTGTATTGAATTAATTACTGAATAAGCTAGAGTAGATATAGCTATTACATTCATTATGCAATTAATTTTAATTCTTCCTATTAAATTGATTTACTATTTATTTTGATGTGAATGACGAATATTAGAAGCTTAAAATTATAATAGTTTCAGTTATAAATTTTTAAATTTTACTATGACTTATACTATTAGTTTTGGTTGCAGACTATAGAAGAACATGAACTTTGTCGAAAGAAGTTAACATTCTCATAATAATTCTCTCAGTTTATGAACAGAAATTGTAAAAGAATAGGCTAAATTATTTGAAAGTGAAGCAATAAATTTTCATTTCATTTCTTTACTGTAATAAAATGAGTAAAAAATTTTCGTAATACTTTTTATATATGAAAAACTTCTCATATCTTCCATCATACAGTGGAAATTAATCATTTGTAGATATTAAATGCACGTTTACTTTAAGTATAAACTGCAAAGTCTTTTATAGTACTATACAGTTTTTCTTGGATATGGTTTTTTATTTGCAAACTTTCATGAATATTTTTTATTAATCTTTAAAAAAAGAACTTTTTTTTGAGATTCAAATTTGAAAAATATCTTGTCTAAAATTAATTTGAAAAATCGTTCTCCTTAATTAAATTGTGAAAGCAGTCGAGCATGTTTACTTTGCATCTTTTCATCACTTCTCATAAATTGAACAGTCGTCTGTTTTCATAAAATTCTTTTGTAAAGTCTCATCATATTGATTATCAATTCATTTATTTATTTTGTCTTTCACCGAATATTTCATTATTTTTATTAACACTGGTAAGATTGATTTGAAAATGAATGAAACATATGGGAATAAGTAAACCTGTAAGGTAAGTTACCGATTTGCGATTGCGAGGTAAATTATGTTTGAAAGCAAATATAAACATTTTGAAAATGATAGAATTGCGGGGAAGGATGAAATAAGAAAAAGGTTAAGATGAAGTTTAGTACGAAAGCGCCTCAATATTATTGGGTAAGAGTTTTATTTTTTTTTCCTCCAATTCCTTACTTACATATTGCTTGCGGTATGAGTATCAAAAAATTGAAATGGAAATTACTGATTTCTAGTCAAACTTTTAAAATATTTATTTAATTTATTTCTGATCAAAAAGTATGCTTATTTTTCAGGTATCAGAAGTACTGTCCAGTACAGATGGTGTATCAGCACGAGATGCTCTATTACAATGGGCGCAAGATGTTACACGCGGATATCCGGGTGTTAATGTTCGCAATTTTACCAGCAGTTGGAGAGATGGTTTAGCCTTCAATGCTATCTTGCATCGTTATCGACCAAATCTTATACAGTGGAGTAAAGTATGTCATCTATGATAACTGTCTCTCCAATATCCAATCCGATATTGACAATAAAAATTTTGTTGATGAATAATGAGGATATTTTAAAAACTAGTTGAAAATGAGGAAAACTTGGCATGTTAGTTGATAAAGAGCAAATGATCAAAGTAAATAGATTAAGAATATTTAGCGACTAATATCTTCAGTGATCTTTTACTGGAATAAATAATATCAAATTGTAATAACGATGATTTTATTGTGATAATTTCATTTACTATTGTGATTTTTCTGTCATATCTGAAAAAAAATTACTTTACTTTTATTGCTCACAAATTTATGTAAAAAAAAAAACTTCAACAATTAGATAATTGATAATTTTGCAGATAATTGATGCGAATGTATCAGCTCGAGATCGTCTCAATAGTGCATTTGCAGCAGCTGAAAGTGAATTTGGTGTTTCCAGACTATTAGATGCAGAAGATGTTGACGTGGATGTACCGGACGAGAAGAGTATCATCACTTACGTCTCTTCACTTTACAACGCTTTGCCACATACCAATGAATTGAGCAAAGTCAGTTTTATCTCTCTTCATTTTCAAAATTATGTGGCTCATTTAATGTCCTTCTCAGCAAAATTATTCAGTTTTCTTGAAAAATATTAACAGTATGATGCTCAGATTCAATTCTAATTGAAATTTAAAAATTTAATTAACAAAAAGCAGTGCGAAACTTTTCTCATTTTTAGTAGCACTGGTATGGAAATTAATTTATCAATGGTATGACAATTTTAAGGATTTTTTTTTGAGCTTTTTGAATAGATTTCTCTTCAATAAGCCAATAAGCCATAGTAATAAGCTTCTGCATGGAAACGTCCTATAGAATTTTTAAAAAATTTCGAAGAAATCTTGATAATAAGGTATCACTGAGAATTAAGATTAATATGATTAATTATGGACTAATAATTATTCTATACATTAATAAAGAATTTTTTATCTCCGAAAAAGTAGAACTCGAATTAAAATTAGCTTACTCACTAAATTTTGCTCTGTAATGTATTCATCAGTTTGAAACACACTCAGTTTTGTTTTTCGATTTTAGATGTTTTTATTTTTTATAACTCTAAAGCTTTATTTTATGGCAGTGACTTTCAAATACTTTTTTTGGAGAAGGAACGTCAATTTTGATGTATTCGCTATGAAAATTTCTTTAAGATTCTTTAAGTTTATTGTAAGATTAAAAAATATATTTCTAGTACAGGAACAATCTTGTACTCATGTGGTGATCAGGGTGAATAAAAACAAAAATGCTAAAAAGTGATAACTACATATAAATGATATTTAACAAGAAGCATCTGGAATGCAATTTAAATTGGTAATTAAAGAAAGCAATGGTAATTTTTGACCTTCACAGTTGAAATGCATTAGAATTTTTTGATCTTTCAAAGGACGGAAGCTAAGCAGCGCTTTCATCATTTCCAGTGATTCATTTAACTGTTACTGTTTATGAAAATTAATTTAGAATACTAATTTACATTTTATGTTACAGTATATGATATTAAATTCAGTTGCTGAAGAGAATTTTTTTCTGCATAGATTTCATCCAGTGATAAAGAAAAAAGAATTAACCTGTAGAAGCTAATTAATTCTAATACAAGCCGCTACTATTTTAATTCTAAATTTCCAAAAAAAACTGACAAAAAACAATTGCGGATAGCTTTTCGCTCTTTAAACAACAGTATATTTTTTAATGGATTCTATATCGAGTGAATGATGTCAAAAAATGTTTTATTGTAATCTGATTTTCCGGTATCACCAGCAATTGTGTACTCACAATATTTTGAATTATTATTTTTTTAGATCAATAATGTATTGAACTAAAAATTTTTTTTCAGAATAAGCACAAATCTGTTTTTATGTGTTTTTTTTAATAAAAATATTTATAGGTTCTACGAAATTAAATCATAGATATTTAAAGTGCCAATTTAATTTGCGCATATGATTTATTGGAAAACTAAATTGTAATTGTTAGCTTTCAATGAAGGGGAGAGAGTAATATTTGCTTTTAGATCATTTTTTTTTCTTTTTTCTTCGCTTTTAACTAAGAAATGAATGAAATCGCTTTGCTAACATTCCTGGATAAGATCACTTCAGTCACGTAGTTTAACATTAAATTATAGTTTTTGTTTTATGGTTTTTAAAATTTTTTCTAAAAAAATTTCATGATTTCTAAAATTGCACAGCACATTTTCATGATTGTTTTCTGCACATACCTTAATTAATATATTGCTGTGTATATGGTAGATTAGCAGCTAATAATGATAATTATTGCGATGTTCATTCAGTACGAAGATGTGATGTATGAGTATGAACGTGAAGCAATGGAATGGTTACATTGGGTAGAGCGAGCAACACGTCTAATGGACGATCGTCAGCTGCCGACAAATTTGGGAGAGTTACGACGACTGGAACATGACTTGGAGCGATTTAAATCTGAAGATTTACCACCGAAAGCAAGCGAAAAACAACGTTTAGCGGATCATTACGCTGAACTTTATCAACTTTTCGAACGCACCGAACATTTGCATATTCCTACAGAGTTAAGCACGCAAAATCTGGATCGATCCTGGCAACGATTACTTCGTTCACTCAACGAACGATTCAATCTGATCGAGGAACAAGCCGAAGTTCAGGTATTTGAAGATGCTAAGATTGGACTTTTATTACTTTTTTTCATTCGTATTCTTATTTTGTGTACACTTCGCGATTCACATTTTCAGTTTGTTTATATTGTTTTAACATTTTCATTTGTCCAATTTATATATTGTCTCTCTCTAACAGGAACAGCTTTTAGCAGCTTTGTCTGCTTATTTAACTTTCTTCTTAACTCATAGCTTGGTAATGCTAGTTTAAAGGAGAATGAAAATAACAAAAGGATGTCAAATCAAAACATCTAATAATAGTAAGGAATAGAATATATTCCAATGATATATTAGCTTAATAAAAAAACATTAATATTGTTAGTTGTTATTTTAGAAGAAAATAAATGAAATATTTTGTGATTGATTATCATTTTTGACGGTATAAATTTGAAGTCAGCATGAGCTTCTTTCTTTAGCAACGAATTGTTTAAGCTTTGATAAAAATTTGAAAAAGAATTAAAATAGTTAGAAGAAAAATTGTTCGATGATTTTATTGATGATAAGTAAATTTTTCAAACAGAATTTTTCTGATACTTTTTTTCAATATCAAAAGTTCTTTTTTTCCATTTTCTGCTATTTCATCTCTCTTTGCTTTTTTAATGTTTCGTAAATTTTGGTAAAATTGTTCAAGGAAAGAATTATCGTCTTTGACTTCCACTCTTTTCCAAATGCATAATTAATATTCCTTTTTCCGTTATGGCTGTGGTGATAGCATCTTTTCATTTTCCACTTACTTTACCCTTTTTGCACTATTATTTTTCCGCTTTTTTAACCCTTTTTTTACCTTTTTTGCACATGTTAAAACTCACACTATCATTCTTTTTTTCTCTCTCTCTTTTCAGGGAAAAAAATTCGATGATTAATTTTTTGCTAATTCTTTTACATATGAAAGTGAAATAATTTATTAGCATTATACATTATACATTCAAATTAGAAATACTACTGACCTACATTAAAGGATTTATTTTGTTTAGCATTCAAATTCCAAAGTATCAATTCATTTGGTATGGATTAATAAAAGTTATTATTTAAAAAAGATCAAAATTTATAGTACAAACGTGATTATTAAAAAAATTTTTTTTAATGGATACGCATTTTGTGTTTTACAGTTGTTGCTTGACAGAATTTTCTACAATCAATTAGCAATGCATATAATTTGCTTTTTTCGATGAAAATAAACCGAAAGGTTAAATGTTTTTCCATTCTGAAAGTTTTCAGGGTTCAACAACTGATATTATTAGTCGTTTGGCACGTGGTATTGGCATAACGAATGAGAAGTTGGATCATATTTTGAACAGAATTGAAGATGCTGAATCACGAAGTTAGTGAAACAGAACAATTAAAACAGAACAATTAGTCAATCATTATATATTAGCAGTACATTTATAACCATAATTGTTCCAATAATTACTATCGGAAATTATTTAATATTATGGTATTGCAGTTGATACATTACGACCAGCAGACTTGCAACGTCTCATTGATGGAATTATTGATGATCTTGTAGCATTGGAAGCACCGATTACTGGATTTTTTGAGGATGTAGATCAACTTAAGCGTTTACGTCATCCGGAATCGAACGATTACTATCAACAGTATGTGTATCATCATTAAGAATAACTCATTCAGTAGATCAGCACGATTTGATTCAGTTGACGTTGTACTTTGAGCATTATTCGGAAAAGCATTATTTACTCAACATAAAGTTACATAAACTGCATATAGTATGATGATTTTTTTTTATCGGAGAAGGTGACATTGTTTCTCTAACAAAAGTAATTGGAGATTGTTAAAAATGCTTTCTTGAGTAATTTTCAAGTCTTCAGAATTTGTCGTGTTATTATTATGATGATTATTATTGTTGTTATTATTGTCGGCCGAAATGTAATTATTCTCATAGGGTGTATGGATTAGAACAACGTCGTCAGGCTTACCTGTCAAGATTACGAACACAATTTGTGACACGTCTTGGTATTCGAACAGAACAACTATTGCGAGAGAATGAGCAACGACGTGAATCAGTACGTCGCATAACATTTGGACGCGTAGAAGATTGCATACAGTGGATTCGTTCACGCTTGGTAACCTACTCTGTAATCAGCATAAAAATTATGTTTGCATTGATGAGAGAAAGAGAAAGGAAATGTTAAGGAAAAAAGTAGAGGATATTTGGATCAAAAATTTTCAAAATTTTATTTTCCAAAACAATTTATTCCCTAAAAAGATTTCAAAATATTAATGTTTCAGAGAAAGTTATCAGAAATGGAATTTGTTGAGGATTTGGAGCAGCTGGAAAGTATGTTTGAAGAACACAAAGTTGACAACCACGAAATACAAGACTTCCGACAGAGTGTTGACGAGTGCATTGCTAGACAGGTTATTTAATTCCTTTTTTTTTTCAACGTATAATATAAATTATATATTAGGAACGGAAATCAGAGAAGTGAGAAATATTCGTGACGAAAATTGTAGAGATTGCTTCAAGGACTACTGATTTCTGTTCTAGATATAGTACAACTTATACTCATCACCACGAATAGAAAAGTTTCGAAGAGTAAACGTCCCTATCACGGTTGTTTACTTTTACGGATGGAAAAAAAATAAGGATTAAATGGAATATTTTATATCTCCACCTAATCATGCGAGTTATTAACATATATTTGGCCTAAACTGGTAAATGAGAAATGTTCATTTTAAGCAGTATTTTTTTCAAATTCTTTCATATTGAATGATTGTAAGATTTTTTTGAGTAGTTATCATGTAATGATTCGCATTAACGTGATAAATAAACATGACAAATAATATAGTTGAGAGTATAGACATCATGGATGGATAGTTCAGGTGGAAGAATTGATAGATCTTTTGATTTTAATGGTATGTGAGAGTACATGGGAAATAGGATGACCTTGGCATGGCATCGGCATCGAGCAGAACTTATTGAAAAACTTTATCGTTTTACACATTGTCCGAAAAGGAATCATTAATTGGCCTTCCATAAGAAAATTTCTCCCTGCTCTCTTCTCCTTTGTTTTTCACCAGTCCTCTTCATCCAGTCCCCAATTCTTGCCTTCTCTTTGGAAGAAGGTCGTCGACGTTCATTTATTTCATTTCATCAATTTATCTTCAAGGGATTTTTCTGCGGATCAAATTGCACTGTGATGAACAGAACATATCATTTCTTCTTCGAACATTGATAAAAAAAAGTTTAAACAACTTAAAAAGTTCAGTTCAAGGTTATCGAAACACTGTCAGCTTCATTGTTTCGTAGATCGGTAGAGGTTTCAAAATAATTTGGAATTATAAACTGGTTCTCTGTTCTATGATCAAAGGTTATGAAAGTGACTTTCATCCAATTATGATGGCTCATTGAGCGAGAATCATCGAAACTGACCTGAACATTTTTAAGGCATTGTTAAGAACGAAAAGAGAATATATTATCGTATGGATATAACGAATAATGGAATGTAATAATAATTATCAGCAAGCGCATAATTATGAAAGAAAATACAAAATTAGACGATAAGCTCACGCTTATACTAACTAATATTTTGTCATAAAATAAAATTTTAAAAAAATAAAAAAAAGAAAGTGACAGTTTTTTAGAAAATGAAACGAGTGGTCAATATTTTGTAGAATTTATTCTGTTTGTAGGCAGAGATATCTGCGGAAGATACCCACGAATACTGTGAATTGCTTAGCATATTGGAAAGCGAATATCAGCAATTGCGGGATTTATCAGCCGGACGTATGCTTGATTTGGATACTTTGATTGCATTTATTCGTGGAGCACAACACGAAATTGTATGGATTAATGAGAGGGAAGATATTGAAGTTTCTCGGAATTGGTCCGATATCAAACAACTCGATTTACCAATGCTACAGAATTATTACAAACAAGTGCTTCAGCTTTTATGTTTCCTAAACAAGTTTTTGTTTCATTCAGAAATTCCTTTAATTTCAAGATACTCGAATAACTGTTTTTATAGCCAAAATAGACTGCTAATGTTACATCTTTGGATCTCAGCTCCCTAATTATGGAAACTTTGCTTGAAATTTAGATTCATTATGGTCTCGTCCATTTTCGATAGAATTGAAATCATAGAAATGTATTTGGGTTGTTGATATGTCACCTATTGAAGAATGATTATTTACCACATGTGAATGATAATATTGAATAGACGACGAAGATATTGAAATTTATCATATGAGCTAAAATAAGTCATTGATGGCCAGTGAGAAAATTACCATCTCTAATTAGGATTTCTTTAAAAATCTCAAATTTTTTTGAATTATCAATGACGAGAGTTAATTAGAAATGTTGATTTTTTTTGTAGCTTCTTCATGAAATCGAGCTTCGAGAGTCACGTTTCAATGACGTGCACAACAAAGGCGCAGCCCTGCTAAATCAAGGTCATCCAGCGATCCATGTAATTGAATTTTATTTAAATGCAATGCAGCGGAAGTGGGATTGGTTATTAGCACTGTCGAAATGTCTTGAACAACATTTGCGCGATGCACTCAATCTTAATTCGGTATGATTCGACAAGCTTTTATGGATTTATATGTGAGGATGTATGCACAAATACAATGTGACATTTTGAAAGTTCATTTCTATCGCTAATGGCATTGTTTGACCCGGGAACAAAATTAAGAAACTGAAGTGTGGTTGTAAATTGTTGACTCACTCTTTTTTCATTTTTTATAACAAAATTTTGTTTCGAATTCAGATACCAAATTGAGGAAAAAATCTTGTTAGCAATTGAATGACTAAATGCAACTGATAGTTGCTAATGTAAACTCTCCTCGTAAAGGTGTTTGTGAATATCAGAAAATATAAAAGTCAGCGTCAGTGTAATCGTCAGTCAGCGTTACTTTTTAGCGTCAGCAATTTTCCGAAATCTTTGTTGCGCTATTAATAATCATTAGCTGAATATAATTAATAGTTAAGGTGAATTGATGGAAAAATTTAATGCTAAATCTCAACGCACAATTTTTAGAGCACTGAAAAAAGTATTCAACAAACGATCGATATCTGAAAATTGAGAATGCAGAATTTTAGTACATTTTTTTTATAGTACATGGAAGATGCGAGTGCTGCAGAAGAATGGATGATTAAACAGTCTGAAATGTTAGGAAGAAAGTACAATAGAAGTGAATTTTCACTGGAAGAAGGTGAACAAATGTTACGCGAATTGGATGAAATCAGTGAATTAATCAAAAAATATCACAGTGTTCTGATGACACTCACCGAGCGAAGTTCCCAAATTTCACCTCTGTGGCAACGTGGTGAACGAATTCAAAGACCAATTCCGGTTGTCGCTTTAGCTGATTACATTGATAAAGATATTACAATTAGAGAAGGTAAGAGATAGAATTTTCATTCAGATATTCTTTTCTTTCATCTTCATGTATTCGGTATCTTATAGTTCCTATATTACATTTTGTGATCTCTGTTTATTGTCAATTTCGAATCTCTTACTTAAGTACATATAATTCAATTCTATGATGATATTTCTAGATGAAATATTCACAAAGATTTTCTTGCTGATCAAGTGCTAGTTTATTCTTATTTAGGCGATGAATGTATGTTAACCGATAATTCGGATCTGATACATTGGAATATTCGTGGACCAGATGGTACGGAAGTTTCGGTACCATCCGTAGTTTTCCGTATTTTACCGCCAGATGCTCATATTATTACATACCTTAATCGATTACATACAAGTCTGGAAAAATTACGCCGACTTTGGGGACAGAAACATCGAATGGTTCGATATAATATGGTATTAAATACAATGGCTCAGATACGGTAAATTGATACTTGATATAATTCATAAATATTTGAGTGAAATTGTGAAAGATCTAAATAGTAAATAGTTGAAATATTTGTTAAATGATATTTCTTATCAACAAAATACTTTTAATGAGATTTCGCTTACTTTATGAGAATTTGACCGAAATTTTATGAAAATGATAACCTCTTGTATCTGCTTATGATCTGAAATTTCTAGTGGTTGGGATCTGAATACTTTTGCTGCAATGACTCCGGAAGAAAGGGATGCGATCATTAAAGCTTTGAATGATGATGCCCACAAACTGATTTCCGAGCTGGAACCGAATGATCCATTAGCGATGCGGCTTAAAGGAGAATTGAAACTAACCAATGAACATTTCTACGATCTTCTAAATCAAATGAATCGTCCCAAAGGTACCGGTGATTTCGTAAATTTAGTAATTGTTTGAAATCATGGTGTTTTATGTCTTTTTTTAATAATTAAAGTAGCATACTGTTTTATGTCTCATAAATATCTTTGCTATTCTGTAATTAGCATATTCTAGAACCCGAAGTTGGAGCTCAATTTGATACGAAAATTGCGGAGTTACTTAATAAACTTGACGAAGCATATCAAAATCTGAACGGTCGGGTTATGCAGGTATCTTTTTGTGTCATCGAGTGGAATGTTCGATAAGGGTTTCGCACATTATTCAGAAGGATTGAAATTATATTTTTGCTACTCAATTTTAATTTTAAAAGTTCACTTCAGAACATTCCAAGATCACGAGAAGAGCTTGAAAGGCTGACCGTTGGACATAAGGATTTCGAAGATGGATTGCAAGCATTAGACGTTGATGTATCAACTGTTAATGAGCTGTTTCGACAAATTCCCGAACCAACGCCCTCGCAACGAGCTAATTTCGATCATTTAAGTGGTCGTTGGGAGGATTTATGGGAACTGTCAAGAATGTATGTTGAACGATTAAAGTCTTTGGAAGCTGTGTTAAATGGACTTGTCGAGGTAATTTTTGAATAACTGTTAATTGTGTAATATTTTTCATTGCGCTTTTTGAATCAGTGTAAAAAATCAAATGTAAGGGTCTTTTTTTGGATACAATTTCTTGGATTGCGAAGATTTTCCTGGGTAAAAGTTAGATAGAAGATATAAACTGTGCTGGAATTCTTTCTTCTGCTTGCAAGCTGCCTGAAAAATTCGGGAGTCGGCTTGAATAGGAACACTTAATTGGAAGTACAATACAAGAAAAAAAGCATTAGATCTCCAAGTTTTCTTAGACTTGAGAAATTTAATGCTTTTTGACTTGACCAGTTCTGTCAGTGATTCATAGTTTATCGAAATCCTGGTTTTATTATTGAGGTACTGATACTTAAGTAATTGTTAATCTTTTGTACGTAGGAGATCACCGGTTGCTTCCTTTGGTCGACCAAAATGAGTAAGTATTTAAACTCTGAACTGAATTGAACTGAATATTAAATCTGTGATTTTATACATTGCTTTTGTTCTGACCAGTGTAACTGTTGTGACAGTTGGCTTCTATTTCTTTTTGTCGAACCCGTATCATAGCTATTTTCGTTTATCATGATTTATTATTGAGATACTAATATTCCATTCTTCTTTGATCAGACTAAATTGATGATTGTCTTATTTCATATAACTTCTATTATTGCATAAACAAGTAAACGAATCTAAATAAAGGGATTTTATTTTGTACATTATGTGCGAGGATATGTTTTGGCTTTTCCGACGGAAGCTTTATGGAAATTCACATATCATCGCAATTATTAGTTGCAGATCATAAAATATGATGCAGAAAATTCTTGGGAAGTCAAAGCAAACTTAACTGATTTATGATTTGGACAGTTTTATAGGTAATCGATATTGTACGACAACATGAAATTATGCTCAATTCATTTGATGATATGCCAGCCTCGTTGGATAAATTGCGAGGCGTTCATTCGCAGTTGCTTGAATTGAATATGGTATTGCAACAACAACAGACAATCGTTGATGCTCTCAATCGTAATATTGCTCTGCTACGTCAGCATGTTTCACGAACTCGCCAATCACCGAAGTAAATTTTAATTTTTGAGAACAATAGTGAGTGAAAACGAAAATGATGTTTGATAATATCCAATTTGTTATTAAGCTACTGGTAAGAAGCAAAATTGCGTTAAATGCTAAAGCAATTTTTTTATCCTAATAAAAATTTGGTTTGTACTAATATTTAGTCAATTTACAATAATTATTTTGTAACTCTAATAAAAAATTCAAATGTTGGTATAATAAAATAAAAAAGAACCATTTATTTACAGTCATCCAGATGTTGATCGACTAGAAGACGAAGTGCAAACATCAACCGTTCGATGGGAAAATGTTTGTTCGCAGGTGGTCGATCGCTTAAAAACTACTGAACATGCTCTGCAAACCCAAATGGTTTACCGTACCGAATATGAAAATGAAATCAGATGGCTTGACAATGTCGAAGCAACTATTAATAGGTATATACAGCTGTTGTTCAAGATTTTTCAAAAATCTTATTGTTAATAGATCGTTATTTTGTAAATGAATACTTTTATTTGATATGGGCTTATTATAAAGAAATAATTGACATTTAGAGATAAAAAATGATTTTTTAAAAAATTTTTTTTATTAAGATTCTTTTTCATCACTTCTTTTTTCGATAATTTATGAAATTTTGATGATGAGAAAAAAGAATTATGTGTGAAATAAAAGCCGCGGATACAATTTAGATCTTTTCCATCACATTTATATTTACTTAAAAATTTTATTTTCTATTTCAAACAATAAAAAAGTAAAATTTATAGTTTACGCAAACCAGAAGAACTTCGCCCAGAGCAGTATCAACAGCAGTTAGACCAACTTATTGCCGAATATTCTCAGTTACAAGAACGTACTGAGGCAGTAGAAAATGTGAACCGTGAAGGTGGAAAATTCATTCGTGAAGCGAAGGTATCTTTAATCACTATTAAGTTCTAATTTTTATTGATGACTAACTGTAATGGTTTTGAATTGTATCTCAAATATTTTCAGATAAGATGAATCATTTCCATCGAAGACTGTCGAAGTCATGAAAGTTTTTCACGTAACCTGCGGGAAAAAATCTGATTCTTTTTATATGGAAGATTATAGCGGGTTTTCAGGATGAAAATCCGGTAACTTTCAGGGTTATGATAATCATTTGGTGCAGTACATGGAAAATATCATCAACATTCATGGACCGGACATCCGAAATAACTTCCGTCGTTCAATACCGCAACCGAAAAATGGGGTTCAACAAGTAACGGAAGAATTAGAACATCTAAATAGACGATTTGCTCAGCTGAGTTCACTAATACTTGAACGTCGCAACATAATGCAAGTACTAATTCAAAATTGGAGGCGGAAAAAACAGGTTAGTAATTTTTTTAAACCTTTATTCAGATATGTAAAAATGTTGTTTTTAACAATCAACAAGTCACATTAAATATAACGATATGATACAGAATAATCTTGTGAAACGGAATAAGCATTTCTAAAAGAAAGCTTGCGGGCAAATCTTTTTTTTAAGCTCTTATAACCCAATGCGGCCAACATCATTTCACAAGAAATTAAGATCCCTGAAAATAAAGTTTTATTATGAATCCCAGATTACATAACACCAACAGGCTGATTGCGCTTCCGGTCGGTCGAGTACTTATGTGTGTTACTGCAGTGAAGTGAGTCATGGTATCACTTAATGATGTTACTGACATGAAATAATTCCAGAAATTAAATGGCATTTTAAAAAATTGAAATTTCGAAACCAACCGATTTCAACAATGTTGTAACCAATCTGCGCCAACACATGCTTATATGTTTTATCATTCATTTCCACTACTTTTTTAACACAGTTGTAGTTTCTAGTGGCTTCCAACATTCTTTCTTCTTTTCGTTTGTCCTATTTTTCTTGACTTGGCCATTCATTACCATTTTTTAGCCAGCTTCCCTTATTAACCACAGCAGCAGAATAGCCGTATTAAAGAGCATTAATTGACTCAAAATTCAGCATTGGTAGCTTTTTCTGGATTTATAGGATGATTAATTTTTGGTTTAAAGTCGAAATGTTTTTTATGTCATTCTGATGACTTGAATGTTTAGGTATTACTCAGATTTTGATAACACAGCAGCAAATTCACCATTAAAATTTCACTTTTCTTAAGAAACCATTTCCAGGTTGAAAACCAATATGTTATTTTTACTTAAATATGCTTATCACACTCTCTTATAATATGACTTTTTGGTTAAATCTCTTTAACCTATTATTATCATTTTTAAGCGGAAACTTTAAAGAATCGTCATGAAAAGTCATCGTAATCGTTAAACAATTTGTAAGTTTTTCCAAAATGAAGAAAGCGCACTTTTGAATTTGTGTATAAATTTGTATACTAACATAGCAAATTGATCTTTCCAAGCTATATGCATGCTTTGAACAACATTTTAGGTATCAAACAATAATGCAATGTATTGGAAGATATATCGCAGGACGAAACAATTTGAAATTTTTTAGATGATAAAAGAAAAAATATGGAATTTCAAGAATTACTGTACAGTAATTTCTGTTGAGTATTTCAGATTGCACTTCACAACCACATTATTTTTTTGCGCGACGTTGCAGCCATTACCGTTGCCTTGTAGTTGTGTGCGTTTCTGTTCCCATTTCTTGCTTCTTTTGCTTACTCTTTTCACAGCCGGGTATTATTTTTTAGATCGGTTGGTTTTGGCTTCCAGACGTTCGTCATCTTGTTGTTCCATCTCTCTTATTCACTTGCAGACAAACACTGAAGTGCTGCAATTAAAAGATAGCATTATTTGACTGAACTGTACTTTTGCGCAACACTCATACACTCATCCATCTTCCATCGTGCTGCTACGCAGATCTCTTCCATTTTGTTGTAGGAAGAGGACGAACGAAGACGAGCAGAAGAGGAGGAGAAACGTCGCCAGTTTGAAGCAGCTCGGTTGAAAGCACTGGAGGATGCTGATCGCCTCCGCAAGCAACGTAAAGCTGCTGAGGATGCACGTCGAGCAGCTGAAGAAGCTGACCGTTTACGCCGTGAACGTGAAGCGGCAGAGAATGCACGCCGAAGAGCGGAAGATGAAGCGAGACGAAGAATGGAGGAAGATGCTAGACGTAGAGCTGCAGAAGATGCAGCCAGACGAAAAGCTGAAGGAGATGCGGAACAGGAAAGGAAAAGAAAAGAAGAGGAAGAGCGTCGTCGCCGAGAAGAGGAAGAGCGTCGTCGTCGAGAAGAGGAAGATCGTCGTCGTCGAGAAGAGGAAGCAAAGAGGGAACGTGAAAGGAAGCGATTGGATGATGAACGCCGGCGAGCGGAAGAAGACCGTCGTCGGCAGGAGGAAAATGAGCGGCGTTTACGTGAAAAAGAACAACCAAAAGTAGGCCCTCATTTGTTTGTAATCATGAAATCATGTTAATCATCATTTCTATATTTTGGAATTATATGTAGAACCTTGGGCCCATAAATGCAAGCTGAAACCGAATTCAACTGTTTGCACAGCGAAATGCGAAATGATTTTCAGTTGGCTCTCATGGAGTTACTTCTGAACTGTCGCACAGCATAGCATTGATTCTTTCATTAAATTTTGCGGTTAAGACAAAGCACTGAGAGAAGGTTAACGGATAATTTGTTTTCAGATGCCTAACCTGAGTCATGGCATGCAACAGGCAATTGTATCCGAGGGTGGTGAGCTGGAAGAATTTGAAGAGAGTCGAGATGTTCCGGAGAGAGCAACAATAGCGGAACATGAGGATGAAATGCAAATGTATCAGGAAGAAACAATTACTAAAACACAATTTTATGAAATGGAGGGCATTTTGCACAAGCAAACGGGCGAAATTTTGACCTTTGTTGAGGCGATACGCCAAGGATTGCTAGATTTACATTCCGGTGGAGGGGAATTCTACGATATTGTTTCGGGTGCTAGAATTAGTTTGGAGAAAGCTGCGGAATTAGGGTACATTGATGGTGGTTTTCATGAAGTGCTTAACACTCATTATGGTGTGCGTCATCCCGAAACTGGTGAAAGTTTATCTCTATTAGAAGCCATCCAGATCGGCTTGTATGATCCGGATATCCGTCAATTGCGAGATATTGAAACAGGTGATATCCTGCCAATGTACGACTGTATTTCTCGAGGAATCATAACACTTGATACACAACATCGACTGGTTAAAATGGGCATATTAAAGCTACCACCTTTACCACTAGAAAGCGCTATTGAACAAGGTGTCATAAATAAGGAGACGGGTTACTTCACCGGAAAGTACACGAGAGAGACAATGCCACTGAAAGATGCCCTCTACAACGGATACATTCAGATCAGTGGATGCCGTCCGCATACGATGATTGCAGTCACTCTGTCTGATTGTCTTGAAATGGGCTTAATTGATGGTTACACTGGTGAATTTGTGGACAAACATAGTGGCGAGAAAATCACCTTACGCGAAGCTGTTTCGAAACAATATGCACTTTTAAATTTGCACGTTCCAGAAATTGTGAAAACGGATGAAAATCGGCGTATTACATTAGGTGAAGCAATTGTACGTAATGCAGTAAATACTCGTCAAGGCAATTTTAATGATTTGCTAAAAAGTCAAACTCTTACGCTTCAAGAAGCTTTTTCAAAAGATTTCATACAGAAACCGCTGACGCTTACAGAAATTAGTCAAAAAGACTTGATCGATTCAACAAATAGATTCATAGATGGAGGCACCAAAAATCGCTATACACTATTAGAAGCAGTTGCCGTTGGTTTATTGGATCCGGACATACGTCATATCGTCGATCCTGACGAAAAAGATGTAGTTTCCATTGCAGAAGCTTTAGAACGAGGATTGTTAGAATCTGATGGGAGGATTATGCTTCAACAGCAGCAAAAAGTTTTTTCTGTAGATGAAGCAGTTAGCGATGGATTATTAATCAAACGTGTACGACATTCTATTTTTAATGTGAAAGGTATCAAGAATACGAAAACAAAAGAAAATTTAACGTTTAATGAGGCTGTAGATTGTGGAGTAATTATACTGCAAGCTGAAAGAATTGTAGACCTTGCTACCAATGAAAGTTTCCTTATAACTGATTGTGCAGACAAAGATTTATTGGATCCAATGCTTTTCGAACTCCTGACGACATCGTTAGGTATAAGAAATGGTTCGAGACAAGACATGTCGGTGATTCGTGCTGTAGCTAAGGGATTCATTGATCCCCAAAAAGGTGTTTATGTTGATAAACGGACGAACAGAGAATTATCTCCGAAACAAGCATATGATGATGGATTATTAACTCTTAAAGGAGCCTTACAACTATCAGGGATACTTGACATTCATCCTTCTCTGGTAACACCAGTCAAGAAAATTGATCATAAGAAGCGAATTAGACGACCGGGCCAAAGGAAAGATGCAACAACGGATGAAGTGAAGGTGACATTGGCAGAAGCTATGAGACAAGGTTTAGTTGATTCGCGTACACATCGTTTTCGTCAAGGTGATACTGAGATGAGCTTTGAAGAAGCGTTAAGTCAAGGATTAATCCATCCATCTGATGAATGGATAGTTCCGTCTAAAGCAAGTGCCGGTCCTACTGTAGAGGAGAAGATAACTGAATCAGTAACTGAAACAGCACAACAACTAGCGCCGAAATTTTACCCAGATAAAAATATTGAAGAAACTGTAACAACTGTTAAGAAAGTGAGAAAAACAGAAACAACAGCATTGGGTGGTCCAGGTGGTGTTTCTGTTTATCGCGCAGTTACGGGTAGTAAAGATTCATTTGAAATACCAGCTGATGGTTATCATATTTTGGAGGCAGAACGTAAAAATTATGTAAACCTTAAGACAGGAACTGTTTCTCTGCCAAATTTAAGTCGATCGCTATCCTTACAAGAGGCATTTCAATTGAATGTCCTTGACAGTAGAAATGTTACTGTTGTAGATCCATCAACTGGCAGTCATATTTCTATTACGGAAGCAATGAATAAGAAAACAATTGATAAAAACGGTTTTATGGAACGAAATGGTCAAATGGTTAATTTTGAAACGTTAATTAATAACAAGATAGTGCTAGTGGAAGCTGAGGCACCAGCTGGAATAGGAAGTTCGAAAAAGAAAATAATACAATTTTCACCAGGTTCTGAGGCAGTCATAAGTTTTCGTCCAATTGGAACTCCAACTGTAGAAGAAACAGAGCAATCGTGGACGTTTGATTCAAGTAGAGGTGAACTGGTTGATCATGTTACAGGTGAACGACTTACTCTTGATGCAGCCCTTGCTTTTGGTAAAATCAGCCGTGAGGATTTACGTGTCTTCGATACTTTAACTGGACGTGAAATGTCATTTGAAGAGGCTGAAAAATGGGGTGTTATTGACGAGAAAGATCGTTATTATTTGGATAAACGAGAAAATAAACGATATTCTTTGGCTCAAGCGGCTTTACAGCATCGTGTTTTTCCAACAGGTGGTGTGCCTGAAAATGCTTCTGATGCGATCCATACCACTTATAAAATACAAAAGCGAAGTGAATTATCGAAAAAAGAAGCATTGTTCGATGGACCTACAGAATATACGGAGCAAACGTTGATCAGTGCGTTGGATTCAGGCTGGTACAATGCACAAAGCGGTATGTTTACCGATCCGCAAACACAGAAGCAAATGTCTCTGAAAGAGTCAATAATTAAAGGGTTATTCAATCCATATGACACAACTATATTGGATAAACGTCGAATGCGTGAATTGTCACTTCTAGAAGCGATAGATGAAAATATTATTAATGATAGAGAAGGAACGGTATTGAATACAGAAACAGGGAAATTTACTGATCTAAAAACAGCTCATTCGCAAGGTCTTTTAAGAAGCAAAGGTTTACCACGCACTTTAGAAGGAGCTTTGATATCTGGAAAGCTTGATTTATCTACAGGCCGACTGTCAACTGCGGATGGAGATAATATTAAAATTGAGGATGCGATTACAACTAAACTTATCGATAATCAAAGTATCGTTTTCCGTGATCCAACAACAGGTGAAGAATTGCCTTATAAGAAAGCGGTTGAGAATAAAATTATTGATCCTGTTAAAGGCATAATTTACACGAAGAATATGACTGAAATAATGACCTTTCCGCAGGCTCTTACTAGTGGTGTTTTGATTAGTTCTGGTTCGAGAACATTTACTCCACAGAAACCTCAATCAACACGCCTGGTAGAGCGGAAGTTGCAGCTTACTCCTTATGCGCCAGAACCTGCAGAAAAATCTACAGTTGCTATCATGGAACAACGTAGTTTAGGTGCAGGACGTCAAGAGATGGTTGATTTAGGTGGTGGAAAACAGGTAATGGTGAAAGTTATACGTGGAGAAGGAGGCATTGAGAAAGGTGAATATGTTGATCCATCATCTGGGATGAAATTTACAATTCAATTACATGGTGATCCGTATATGACTGAAGCTAAGACTGTTGTAAAAAGTACCGCACAGATGCAATCTATTCAGTTGGAACCACATGCTGAATTTGTTGGTATTGATAAGATAAGGGATAAAAGAAATGGTCGTGTCATGTCATTGCAAGATGCTCAGCGAATTGGTATTGCACGCATTGATAAAAAAGGAAAGCAGATGACGAAGACATATTCAGTTTTTAGATCGAATATTCAAAATGCTGTCACAAAAGGTGTAGTTGATGCTCGTGGTGAAAAATTAAGCTTGGAGGATGCTGTTCGAGCGAAGTTAGTTGATTTACAAAACTTAACTTATCTCAATCCAAAGACAGGTGATGCTCTAACATTAGCACAAGCGGCAAATATGGGTCTTGTTGATGTTACCTTATCGGAAACATTACCGAAAGGTGTATCGCATCCAGCGAATGGGGAAAGGATATCAGTTCAAAAAGCGATAGAACTTGGTATTATAAATCCGAAAACGGGTGAGGTAAAGAATCCGTTCACTAACGAGAAATTAGCTTGGTTAGATATTATGAAACCGGTATATACAAGTCTTACGATGGAAGGAGTTTATGATCCAACAAAAGGATATGGAGTACCTGTTCTAACCGCTCTTACTGAAGGTCTTATTGATGCTAATACAGGACAATATTCAAATATTATTACAGCAGAGATAATAACATTGAAGGATGCTTCTAATAAAGGTTTGATTGATGCTGAGACTTATAAAGCTATTACAGAACCATTTCTGTTGGATTATCGCACAAAAAGAAAACTTAATTTGATCGAGGCTGTTCAGAAAAAACTGGTGGATCCAAGAAATAAAACTATTCAATTTGATGAACAAATTATTATGCCTGTTGCACGTGCTACCGCAGAAGGTAAAATACCGTTATTCATTGGAGAGAAATTGAAACGTATTGATAAAATGACATTCGCTGAAGCATTAAGCAAAGGGATGATTGATGTTGTACAAAATCGATTTACTGATTCTGATTCGGGAAGGCAGATGTCGATTAATCAGGCAATTGAGGAAGGATATATTGATACCGGTAATGTTGAAGCTCCGGAAGACTCAAATGAGCGGAATCTGGCAAATATATTGTCCACAGAAGAATTCGACGAGATTTCCGGACGAGTACGGGATAAAAAATCAGGCCTTTATTTGACTTTCAAATCCGCTGTTGATCGTGATATTATTGATGGTGATTCCTTGTTGCACGATCTGGAATCGAGCCATACAATGACAGTAAAAGAAGCATTGAATCAGGGACTTATTGATTCAGATGGCAAATATATCCACAGACGTACGGGAATCAAAACTACACTTAAAGATGCAGTAGCAAAAGGTTTGATCGCCTTGATTGCATCTCCTATGCAAGCTGCGCAAGCAATCACAGAAGCCGTGAAACTTCGTGATGCTGAAGGTTATAGGTTCAAATTGGAGTCAGTTGATGACCGGAAAATTGGAAGTGGAACACCACGCTATAGAGAAGAGATAACGATCAGAAAACTCTCGTCACCTCACCGTCCTGAACCTGGTCTCTCACGACGAGTTAGGTCTAGCTCAGAAGCATCGCGAGGAAGTAGAGGAAAAAGCCTAACTGATGATCCTCAGGCTATGGCTGATTTGCAGCACGAATTTTTAGATAATCTACGAGGACGTGGTTTTGATGTTGAAGAAAAAGTCATCGAGCGTCCAGAAAGCAATGCACGAGTTTCGATCCGTGAGGCAGCGGAAAGTGGCCTGCTTGATGTTATCACAGGTGACATTGTTCATCCAACAAGTGGTCGGCGATATTCAATTCCGCGAGCATTGCATATGAAAATGATGACACCTGATGCGGCCAAGCGAATGATGGAGACATTGAATATTTCTGTTGAGGATTTGGGACAGACACCATTAATTGAGTCTGTTAGCGCTAGTCCTTCAGAATCCAGCATTAAAGTTTACACGAAAACTGTCAGTTGGCGCGGTCACCCATCTGAATTGCGACAAACAACTGATCCACTTGCGCCATATACAACCTATACATCATCAACATCATCCACAGCAATGCGTACTTCCGATTTGTTCCCTCAGTAATTAATTACCTGGTTTTGTTGGTATCTTTGTGCACCATCTCTTAGCTCGTTTAATACTCATTTGTCTCCTTAAGAAGCTTTTCTTATCGAAATTTAATGTGGAAAGTAACAATCACACTTTTTAATTGAATCAAAAATATTGCGGGATTTTTATATAATTTCTTATCAATAAATATCTTTCAGCAGTTAATTGTTCGGGAAATATCGTTTTTATGTACGCTAATCATCATCATTCTGTAATACTTTCTCTTAAATTTATTGCTTTTATGACGATGAAATTGCTGTAGTTTGGATTTTCTTAATGCCGAGATGATATATTTTTTTGTCCGATAAATTTGCAATAGATAGAGAATTAATTTGCATTTAGTTTAAAATTTAGCTGCGGAAATTTCAACTTCAAGAAGCATACCTATACCGTTTAATCTTAATTTGTTGCATGGAAGTTTAGAATCAAAATCACTCCAATCTCATTAGTTAAGAAAATAGGCGAATAGGCTATATTCAGATTTTTTCCAACTATATGAAAATAAAGGACTGTATAAAAGCATAATGAAAGCATTGTTCCAATTGGAATGCAACATTTATCATCCAAACGTTACATTTCTTTTTCACTTAAAGAGTTCAATTGTTTCCCATTATTCACTTCTCTATCACGTTGTTATCTTTTTTTTCCATTCTGAACATCACCAGTCATTATCATTTCTTCACTTTCAATTTAAAAAAATGAATGATAGCTATTGAAAAATAATAAAATGGATAACAACAGCCATTCTCACTAAATTTCTATCATTTGAGAGAATCGAATTGAGTGATGATAATTTCATTTTGCATATCTATCTTTCTTACATGGATTGTTTTCATGTAAGGAATAGATCGTACGCTTTTCGGAATGAAATCCTAAATTAGAAGCATTCAACTGTTCATGTTGTCATCTTTTTTTTCGAACTGAAATCAACTTTGTAATATTACTTTCCTTTTTTTAAGATTTTTTTTTGTATATAAATTTTTATGCAAAATATATCATAAAGTAGTGGCATGTGAAGTGTGGTTTGAAATTTCAATGGAAAAATGATGGTAATGATGTACAATTTAAAAAATTTAGCGCAAAAATGATTTTTTGCAGCCTTTTTTTGGAATACTGCTGCATTTACAATGTTCAAAATACTGCTGGTAAAATTATTTTTAAATTCATTTCAACACGAACAAATGAGCAATTGATAGTACGGAGTGTTTAGATCAGTCGTTAGTTTTTCGAGAGATCTTAAAGATTAATTAATGATTTCCAGGTCACTCTTGTGGTCTGAGATTAAATTAGTCGAGTTACGATTAATTTAGCATTTACAGTTTGATGGCACGTTTTAGTAATTTTTCTTTCGTTATGAAATTATACAAAATGTACGAACAGGGGAGCTTACTGTAGCTATTGAATGATATAGAATTGTAGGAAACTCTACAAAAAGAATAGGTGGTTTAAGGGTATTTCGTAGTTCATTCCAATTAAATTGTCAGCTTTTTTTTATTTAACTAAGTCAATTTGTATTACACTTTTGTAATTTTAAGGGATTTATAATATAGAAACGAGTATCACAAATTTTTTTTATTAATATAAATGATCTTTCAAACAGTACAAAACAGCGAACTTAAAATCATCAAAATTCATTTCCAATTTATTTAAAAATACAACTGAATGAAAGGGTTAATGAAAATGAAAGATTTAGATATTCTTTAATTTTGCTATGTTATAAAGAATTAATCACATTTAACGCATTTCTGGTAAAAACATTATATGAGCTCATCATTTCTTCTAAACATGGGAGGTTTTCAAATTATCGCACTTCAAAAGAATCACCCTAAATACATAAGAGCTTGCATTATGAAAAATATTTAGACACGTAATTTTTTCTAATGTTGAATTATTGTGGTTTCTCATGGATTTTTATTCTTTGGGCAGTGAAATTTGTTATCCATTTCATTGAAAAATTACAGTTTGACTCGTGATTGCTCATCAATTAAAACTTTTTAAGTCGAACTTTTTCTTTATTCCTTAATTTGAAATAAATTACATGAATTTAATCGACATACAAGTCAAAAAAAAGAAAATAGAATTAATATTGAAATACTGCTCTGAATGAGAAATATTTATTTGCTAACGTAGCAAATCAATCCATTAGCAGTTTTGAATGCTTAGCTTATTTCATTCTTTCGAAAAGCATTTGTAGAAACTATAATATTTGCTAATTATCAACGAATCTTTTTCAACTTGCGACTTTTATATGCAGCAAGGTAATAATCGCCACGTTACATCTATTATGCTTATAGATTTAAGAAATTGAAATGACCAACTACAAATTTACTTCATTGCTATGCACATTACATTTATTAATCATCAATACAATATTTGGAAATAATATTTATACCATTTAGAATGATATTGTCTTGTAATGTTTCAGATTTCAGATAATTTTAATAAATTAAAGGCAAAATTAATAATATTTAATATAATGTGACAAAGAATTCAAGAAAAATTTGTCACTGGATAAGCAGTTATATTTGTCGGTATTGATTTGCAGGAAGATTTGCATAATGAATGTACTGAAAGACAAATAAAAATATTGGAAATTCTGGATACATTTGGTATGATAAGTACAGCAATTTCGGAAGGCTTTTGGTTGGTCGCTTCATCGGAGGATGCATCGTTAGCTTTCAATCGAATGCAGGTTTCTGCAAATTTTAACAACAAATACAGTTGTTCATAAATACGTAATTTGAAGCGAGTTATTTGTTTGTATTAAGCACTTATTCACGTTTATTAGAAGTATAATTCTACGGTACATTTATTTTCACAGATAGTTGTTGTTTCAGAGAATTCAATAACAATTCACAGTTAACTTTATTCTTTTTTTTTCTTTAAGGAATTGAGAACTAAATTGTCGATGTATTCATCAAAAGTACAAGAAAGTATCGAAGAAACAGATCGTTTGTGTGCAGAAGGCGCAGAATTTTTCACACCGGATCAATTTCACAGTTTAAAAGAGCATCGAAATAAACTTGAAACGAATTATAATGAACTTTTACGGCATACCGATGACATTTTACCAAGGTAAATAAAGTTATAAATAGAATTGTTCAAACAAACAGCAATTAAGATATAAGATTATTACACTTTTCAAAGTTATAAATCTGAATGTGTAATAAAGACATGAATTTACATTATTTAGAAATTAGTTCAAAACAGATGATATAAATGGATGTTTGAATCCTTTCTGTGTTGACCATTTCCTATTTCTAATATTTTGCAGTCCTTTTAAGTAGATGAATTTTTGATTTGTTTTCATTAAGGTTAAATGTTTTAACAAAATTGTTGCTGGAATTTTCAAATGAGTCAAGTCTACTGCATTCATTTCTGAATGAAAAAACCAGAGAATTGACCATTATCAGGGCTGAAAGTGGTGATCCACAGATACTTCAGGGGTCACGTCAAAAAGCTAAGGTAAATTATATTGATTAATAAACTAAATTTAATAATTTACCGGTAATTCATTCCTCTGTTCAAGTTTTGAATCACAAAATTATTATGGGATCAGTGATTTGATATGCTACGTAGCTCTAAAATGATATGTATTAAAGTTGTTTTTGCTAAATTCATTAAATATTTAGGCGGTATTGGATGAAGTAATGAGTGCAAAAGAACGTTTGAAAAATATCTGCACGTTATCTACACGTATACAATCCGAAATTGATGGTTATGTGATCGAAATGCGTTCACAATATCCCAATGCTCAATTCCCGTCCATAGATGCACATGAATTAACGGGTACCATCTGTAGGTTGCAGGTCAATTTTCTTCCAGATAATTATTTCGTAATTTTTTAAACACATATTCATTTACATGAAGCTACTAAATTATGATACTATGCACCTGCTATTAGCTTTGTAAAAAATCGTTTTTATAGGCTGATTACGATATCCTACATCGAAATTGTCATGAGTTATCAGCATATTTGAGTCAATTAAAATCACTGTCAATGGCATATTCACAAAATGCAGAAAGTTTAAACGAGTCAATTACAAATTTAGAGCGAAAAATTTCTGAAACGGAAAGCATTTTGCGTAGCACAGATACCATGGATGGTAGTTCTCTTATGTCTCAACTGTAAGTATTATCTCCATCATATTTATTATCAAATTTGAAAATTTCTATTTGCTTTAAAGCATTTCATATTTTATTGTTTAGTAATTTTTGTAGCGAACGCATTTTTCATCTAAAGATAGTATGACCTATCAAAAGGAAGTTTTAAACATTTATGAACAGAATTTTCAACAAATATTTTCACGCGAACTTATTTCATCAGGCGATGAGATAGTATTTTCTCGAATAACTAATGAATCTTCTGCAATATATCTCTTCGTGTACGTTAATGTTATCGATGTGTGAATTTTGAATATAAATCGAAAATATGTGTTGGAAATGTAAGACACCTGAGTGATGCAAATGTGAGACATAGCTTTTAGTATAGTTATGTGAGTGAGATACAGTAGCACTTGAATAGTGTGATAAAGAACATCTTAAAGCTTCTTTATCTAACAATAAAATAACTTAACATGCCTGTCATTACTTTCCTCACAATGAAATCGAAATTTTACTAGAATGAAATCAGAAAAGTTATTCAGTCAGATTTGCATAAAATTTTGACATTTTCGAAAATTAAAATAGAAAATTAAAAAATGTAAAATTTTTTCCGGTGAAAAAGCGTTACATAAATAATAATGTAATTTTTTTTTACAATAGCACTGCAGATTTAATAAATTATCGTATATTTTTGCGGGAATATTTTTTATATATTTATGATTGAATTTTTAAACTTTTTTTTTTGCAAATTCTTGCTGAGTGTTTTGCACTCATCGTTTTGATTAGTTTACTTTCACGAAAACAGCAGTTTCCTCCAGCTGCATCACCTGATTCAACTGTTTTTTATCATCGAAGCATTGTTTTTCTCCCTTTTTATTATTAATTTGAGAGCGGAAGGCATTGAGATAATGGCACATTCATTAGTTTGCGCGTTTGTCAGTAACAGGTTATGAGTTCGGATTTCATGATTGAAATGAAAGATATTGATTGCTCACTGGGAAATGATGAGAGTTTTATAAAGTGGGAATCTCAATGATTCGTGATGATTAATCATCGTGGCTGATCCCGAACATTGTCCGTTTGACCTTTGCTGCGCTGTCTGTAGAATCTGCGGTTCAAAGGTCACTTAGTTCATTACTCTCAAATGGAAGGAAGTACCGTTTATTGTGTTGATTAGAAAATAGAGTTCCATGATGATCTTACGTTCTTTCTATTTCACAGTGTTCATTTAACATTTATGAATTTTTCAAAAACTCTTTAAATGTAATATCGTTAATCCTGAAAAAATAAGGATAGCATTTAAAAAACAACTATTATTCCTTCAAATTTTTGTTTAAATGATTTAAAGGATGAAAATTATTTAGACTATCTGAACTGGAAACACTGCAGCATGTATCATTCGAACAAACAGGAAAGATTGAAACAGTTACACGATCAGCTGTTGATCTCGGTAATGCGCTTGCAGGCACCGATGCTCATGAACGTATCTCACGTGAAAATCAGTGTCATATTGACGAACTTATGCGAAGGTTTGCATTTTTACAGTTTATTGTTTACATATTCGAATTTTTGTTTCAAAAAAATATTACATTTTTATGTTAATTAACTTAATAGAATCCAATCTTAAACTTGTTATTTTGGTAGTAGTAGAAGCAATATAATTGTAATAGCTATATAGTTAATAATTATTAATGTAGCAGAATTATTTTTGTTTTATAATTCATTCATCAAGTTATAGCTAATTCATTAATGAATTAAACAATTTGAACGGATCATTTTGTCAGTTTGTTGAATTTGCTTATTATCTCATTGAAAGAACTTTTAGACAAATTCGTGCTCAAAAAAGAATTGAGGAAAACATTGATTCTTGGCGGAGTAAGTTGACAAAAGCAAAGGGGATCCGAGAAGGCATGATGAATATAATGAGCTGGTTGGATGAAGAGAATAAACGATACGCGGAGCCTATTTCATTACCCCTCTACGTAGAAAAATTAATTGAATTGGTTTGTAACTGTTTATTCTTTGAATGATCCTATGAAGATAAATTTTTTTTTTTTCGATGGGCGGAAGAGTAATGTTGTACAAGATATTTAAGAAGATCAGTAAGCGCTCATATTTCGATCATTTATTTTAGAGGCATCAGAATGAGTTACAACAACGTGAAATTTCATCACGTCAAAAGGTTCTTATCGAACTGCAAGCGGATGCTAAAAAAATAGCAGCAGCTAATCCGGATTCAATAGCCAGCAGACAAATGTTAAAGGATTGTAACGATGCACAGGAAAAATTTACGACTTTATTTACTATTTCAAAGGTATATATCTTCACAATTTGTTTCTAAATAAATTTAAGCATAAAATTATTAACGATATTATTCATGAAAATGAGAAATTTCGAATTGTTACTCATCAAGCTGCTCAAATATTTATAGGCTCATGCTAATAACATCGCGGAATTATCCACAGCTCTAACTGATTTCAATAATATGGAGACATCGATCAACGAGAAATTATTATTATTGAATGAGAAATTGGCCAATATCTCACTGACAGATTTAAATACATTAAATGAAATCTCCAGTGAATTGAAACAATTAGCACAGGGTAAATGGCAAGAAATGGCAAAGAAGTGCAGATGGATTCTTACCGTACCGAACATTATCGGTGACAATTCTTTGGAAAAGAATGTTCGTTTTTTTTCACATTTTACTGTCATTGTTATTGAGCTACTTTTTCTTATTTTTTTAATCAGCGGAAACTTCAACATTTCAGTCTTATCATTTCCATCTGATGTGGATGAAGTTTTTTTGCATTACGGCACATTGTTAATCTATTTCATAGCTCTATTTATAACCATTTAAAAGTAAATAACAATTAAGTTATTCGTTGCAGGTTTCTCATACTGATAATACAATTAGAAAATTTACCTCACGAGTTGAGGAGCTTATAAGTCACGGATGTGATATTGAAAATCTACGTAAAGCATCCAATGAATTGAAAAACAAACTTATTGCAAATCTTGAAGACTTGGAAACAAAAGCTCGAGGTAATCAATTTTTACTCTCAATAAAATATCGTTTTATCAAGAAAATAAAGTTTTTTTGGCATCTGTCTTTACAGCAACACAGGAATTTTGAAATGTAATTATATTTCAAAAATTCCTGTTTCTCTTCATCCAAGTCATCATTCATTATTTCAGCATTTGGATATTATATGTAGCAGTTTTCATTGGACTAAAAATTCCCATTTGGGTTTTGCATTTACACTTTATGAGTTACCAATCGTAATGATATTTTCTTGAGAATTAACATAAAATATTTACAGTTTTGGAAAAATATTCATTGAATCCGGTAGATTTAGCTAAACAACGTTCAACGTGTCAGCAATTACAAACAGAATATCAGAATTGTCAGTCTGAATTTGAAACACTGAGCAATATTGTTTCGAAATTGATTGAAGCTGAAACCATCGCTAGGTTATAATTTTTCGAAATCCAATCTGTATTTCTGTGTGAAATTTAAATCCATCCATTTAATATAGCTTAACTTTTTGTCCAAATCAATATATTATAGCTTAACTTTTTGTTCAAATCAATATATTTGTAATTATGTGGTTCTTAAAAAAAATTTTTTTGATAGTGACTGATAGAATAAGAATTATAAACTGTAACGGTATTACAATGAAATGAGAAAAAAAATACAAAAAATTTACAACTATCTCAGTCATGCCGGACATTTGAAAGCAGTATGCCATCATCCCGGGCATGTTTGAAAGCAATATGGCCATCATCCCGGGCCTTTTCGCTATGTGTTTGTTACAATTACACATAACCTTTCAAAAAAAGCCTTGCAATATTAACATGAAACCATTCTTATTCCGTATAATTTATTTACTGTTGTTAAAATATTAACGATGATCATTAGCTTAGGCAGTTTATTTTTTGCCTAATTAAAATTTCCATATATCTATTTATTTTTGGGACACATCTCTTTTGCACATATTTATTTCATAGTTCAATTACTCTTCATAATTAATTCGATAGAATAAGCGGTAAGTTAAAATTCTATCGGCAATATTTTTCATGGTTCACAAAATTTTTCCTGTTTTTTTATGTTCAGTATGAAGATGAAAGGAAGTGTTGGACAGTCAGAAGAAGCTCAGGGAATGTTGCGTGAAATGCCATCTATGCAACAAAGATACACTTCGTTGGGTTCATTTCTACGATTAAAGGATGAAAAAATCAATATGGATAGTGAAAAATTATCTGATTGGGATTTACAACGAGATAGTCTTGCTCGTTGGATTAATAATGAAAATAAACGATTGGTTAGTGTCTTCTTTTTCTTCCAAATAGTGGCGTTTTAAGATACTTCCCATGTTGGACTTTATTTAATTTTAATTTTGTAATTATGTTAAATTGTCAAAAGTATATTCTTTGAAGAATATTGAAAAATAAGATTTGTTAGTTAAATGACTGATTTAATTCATTTAATCGAAGATTAGTTTGTATGAATTTGAGTCAGTAGTGACTATTTAATTTGAAATCCAACAAAGTTTTGTGAAGTCTGAACTTGACCAGTTCAATGTAATTTTAACTTTAGAAGAAGACGAATTACAATCAGATCATTTAGTCAAAAATTTTATGGCTCACAACATAACATTCTAAAAAAAAAAAATTTTTATGGCTTAACTTTTTTCTTACAGAACACAGACTATCCTGTATCATTTGTTAACGAAATTATTCGAACAAATATTGCAAAAATAAAACGGCTAGAAGAAGTTATTGTCAAAGAAAAACAATTGGAAATGGAAGAAATTCGAAGTAAGGCACGTTTGTTGATGAGTGAACCATCTATTCCGGGAATTTCCGATATTATAAAGTCCCAGAAAGCGCTTGAAACTGACTGGAAGAAATTGAACCAAGCGGTATCAACTTTGAAGGAATGGAATGAATGTGCAGATCTATTGTTAGAAGGCAAGATTTTGCTTTTTCTTTTGTGAAACTCAGAGAATTCGAAATTTGTTTCGAAATCTATAACTTTCAAAATACTAATTTAATGATAGTGATATCTACAGGAGTAACAAATCTTGATAAGTGGTTGACGCAAAAAGAACGGATGATATCAGCCATTGGAACAGTTAATGTTGATCCTAAAGTTATAGGCAATCAGCTTGTACAAATTGAGGTATTTCGTCTTTCTTCTTATTTATCTCATTGTTAAAAATGTTGAGATGTTATTGGCTTGCAGTTACTTCGAAGTGAACTTGAAGATCAGAGTGAAGCGCGAAATAAAATAAATGAATTAGCACATAATTTGATTGGCAAAAGTGCAACTCCAGCAAGTGCACAACAGATTGTTACGGAGGTAAGTGAATAATTTAAAAAAATAAATAAATACCAATTTAAAAAGAATTTGTTACTACCAGTTACTACCAGTCAAAGTTCTCTTTTTAGATGGATACGTTAAATCGCCGATGGATTTCATTTCATGATGAATTAGAAAAGAAGAAAGTAACTCTTCAGAAAATTAAAGAACTTGGATCGAATTTTGCTAATAAGCAACGAGATGTGAAGTAAAGTTTTGTAATTCCACTTATTTTTATCCATTTCATATTCTTACGTATGCAAAATAGTTTTACTGTTAATAGAAATTTTTTTTTTAAATATATAGTCAATGTAATGAGTATTGACGACTTGGAACTTGCTCAATTGAAATCAAAATGTTTAAATTTAAAACTTAGGGTTCTTGGAAATATTTAAGGCGACAAACAACAAACTATTTTTAAATGTATTATTTTAAGAATGCAGTTGATTGGTGTTGCGGAAGCAGTTGAACAAATAAATCGTTCACCACCAATGTCTAAAAATGATGTTGATGAGCAATTAAAAATTCTGAATGGATCAGGTACACGATTATCTGAGACACATTCACAATTAGAGAATTTGAAAGAGCTTGTAAATTTAATCTGCGAAATCACACAAGATCATAGCTTGCAAACGGATATACGCGAACAATTAAATACAACGATACAAACTGCTCAAGAATTAAATAAAAAAATTGGTAAGTGTCGTTATTGGAAAATATGTTACAACATCAAGTATGATGCATACTCTTACTGCGATTACTATTTATTTACTATTTATTTCAATTAACATTTTAAATTTTGATATATTCTATTTGCTTATAACAGTTATAAATACATTCAATTTTGGTAAAGATATTAGAATACATGAATTTTCTTCAAGAATACATGAATTCATTTTTTATTTTTTCGAACATTTTTTTACTGAAACATGTCATTTTTATCATTTTTCTTCATTACTAAAATATTATCGAATGTAATTTGAATTAAATTTATATTATACAAAATATCTTGAAAACACATTTTTTCGATAAATCATTTTACAAATTTTTGATTATAGAAAGCATGAAAATAGCAGCAACAAATGCAAAGGATGAAGAGGGTCAAACAGTTATGGAAGCTGAAGAAGCAATTAAATGGATGGAAGATATGCAGGAACAACTTTCTGATTTGGGTCCTTTATCAGTAATTTCCACAGAACTCGATGAACAGCGAGCAATAATTAAGAAAATTTACGATGCTGTGTTAGATAAGGAGGGCGACATCATCTTATTGAGGTTTACGGTTTTATAATTTTTTAAATGAACTATTTTTTGAGATGTATTGGAGATATTTCGGCAGAAATTATAGAAATTTTTAATTTAAATCTTGTTATGATTGATGATTGCGCAATTCTTCCTGATAATTATGGATGTTACTGAACTGAATTGTGCGAGTAAGCTTTCCCAAATTGCTTTTTCGAACTAGACTTTATCCATTGCAACCGTTGTGTCCTGTAGCTGTTGAGTAATTAACGTGAATGTGACAGAAAAATTGTTCAAGTTACACCAACCAAACATTTCGAATAAAATTTTTCCACATTTCAAAGTAGCAAATTATTTAGAGCGAAACTGATGGATCAGATGAAAAAAGCACCAAATTCGAGGCAGAAGGAAATTTTGGATAATCTTTCTACTGTTTGGAATCCATTGCTAGAAGAAACTAAAACAAAGCATGCAAGTGCTGAGAAAACTTTTGATCTTGTAAATCAATTGGAAACTTTATTGAAATCTTTAATAATGCAGGTCGACGAAAATCGATTAAAATTAAATGAAATCTCGGAAAACAAGGTTGATTTTTTTAATTGAATTTCTGAAAATTTTTATGATTTATCAAATTCCAATACCTATAAAAACCTAAGTGTTCGAAGTTATTCAGAAATGTCACAAGTACCTTCAAATTTCAAAAATTTTTTTCATTCATTATGGTATTTCAGTTACAAAAAAAAAAATGTAGAAAATGAACGGTTCTTAGATTCTTAAATAAAAATTTAAGAATTTCATTTCTTCTTGAACAAAAATGCTTAAAAATTTTATTTCTGTAAAGAATAATTTTATTTTCTTTACAAGAACTAACAAAAAGATATAATAATTATTTCTATAAATTGTGTAAACTTCAAGCATATATTAATCTCTTATTTATCTTATTTTAGGATAATGACATAACTGAGTTAGCTGTTATGAAGCAAGAAGTTGGCAAACATGAACTTGAACTTACCATATTAGAAAGTCTACTACATAAATTGGAAGTAATCACAAGTGGACCGTCACTGAGAAAACTTGAAAGAGAAGTGGAAAATGCAACTGGAGATTTGAAAGCGTTGCTGAAAGATATTAAAAATATTTGGCAAAAAGCGCAAACATCGGTAGAATTCTATTTATGGAATCTCTTCAATTTCTGTTAATTTATTGTGGTGTTAAGAAATCTAAGGTATAGGAAAAAAGGGATGGGATATATGCACTTTCACTGATGAAAGTTTATTTTGCTGACGCCTACTTTTGAAAATATCTAAGTTTTTCTTTTTTTTAAGAAGGTTATCCAGAAACAATTTTCAAGAAAAAAAGAGGAAGCGCAAAATCTATTAGATTCAGCTAAAGAAACAGCTGAAAGTTTGAAAAGGAATGATGGCATGTCGTCAGTTACAAAGGAAGTTTTGTTAAAAAGTAAGCATTTCAAAATAATCTTAAACAAAATGTAGTTTAATTTCCAATATGTAAATTAAAAGTGTTTGAAAGTTCATAGGATTTTTACATACTTCTCTCTCTCTCTCTCTCTCTCTCTCTAATTTCATTAATTCTCAGTGCTGAGAAAATTTTCCCAATTTTGTTAATTTTAGCCGTTGATGACATTGAAAATAACTGGCACAAGAAAAAACGAGAGTTACATGCGGCATTGAAAGATATGGAAGGAGTTGTTACGCATGAGGAAACTGAAAAATTACACGAGGAAATACGTAAAATGGGTGATGAATACACGCAAGTGATAACGATTATCCAAAATTTACATTGTGAAATGAAAAAGAGAGATGAAATATCAGATGCGATAAGACAAAATATCAGCTTACTAAGTGCTGAAATTCGAAATGTTAATGAAGTAAGTCTTTAACTCAAATATGATAAAATAAATGAAAATAAAAAAAATAAAATTTCGTAAGTGAAGTGAATTTTTTCTCAAATATAATAATAGAATGTTGATGCAGTTATTAAATTTTGACTTGATTTTTTTCACTTCGATAAATTTCGTTTGTTAAATAAATAAAAAAAGTGATTTAGATTTTACTGTTAATAATAAGAAGTAATTTTTAATGAGAGTTACTTTTTTCTAATAAATCTTATTTCATTGTGAAAAAGTTAAATTTCTTTTCATTCAATAAATCTTTATCGCACCTGGAATTCCGCTACTGATATCCAATTAAAGATTTTTTAATTAATTACATAAATTTCAATATTTGGCTGGATGTTTGTTGTAGTATAACTAAATTGTTTTATGTATTTTTCTTTTTGAAATACTGTACAAGATATTCTGAATTTGCTTATGCATATAGTTTAAATGCAAAAAAAAAGTTTCAGAAATGTTTTCGAGAAAAAAAAATTATTTTAAAATAATTGTAGGATTCATCATCACCGATTGAACGCAATATTGCAGAATTGGAACAACAGAATAGGGTTTGTGATGAATTATTGAGAAATATTGCAGAGAAAGGAAAGGTTAATTTAACTTTTTCTCGCTTTCTTAATTTTAAATTCCTGAATTTCGTCAACATTTTCTGACTTATTGATTTCACTACTACTATGAAATGTGGGGATCATTTCACATGTAATAATCAAATTTAAGAATGTTTATGTTATCCATAGTTTCAATTTGAAGAACAGATAGAAAATCGATAAGTTTCGGAAATGGCTGTGATCATAGTGATCATTGTAGTTAGTTTAATTCACTCTTTGTATGAAAGTAAAATGAAGATTTAAAGTGGATAGAATTTTGAGAAGTTTATATTCAGATTTTGGATGAGTTAACATCGGAATGGCAACGAGTTTGTAGCGCAGTTGTCACGCAAACGACGCAGAAAAATGCAGTAGTACAACAAATAAATGAAATTAGAGAAGATCTAAGCAAACAGCGTGCTGCTATCACACAGCGCAAACGTGTTATTGGAAATACTATTTTGGCTGTACAGGAATTTGTTTGGTTAGTAATTTTGTAAACGTTCGAGCATTGCAGAATGGCCAAGTCGTAAACATTGAGTAATTTAATGAATGTTTATATCGCCAATAGGCCTATTTAATTTTACCATTCATATTTAAGTTGGATTATAAAACTGAAAGAAAGAAATAAATCGTTGTATTCCATTACTTAAATACTAGATCATCCTTGAATACATTGAAATATAGATCTAACATGATGAAATTTAACATAATTACTATGCTTGGGATCAAATTTTGAATTCGTTGCTTTTTAAAATACCTTTAAATACCTTAGAAAAGCCTAACAAGGTAATATCATTCATATAACTTTTAAAATTTTCAAATATTCCTTTCTAAATTTGTTTGTTATAGAATACTATTGATGTTTTAATGGAATAATTCATATCAATAGGTAAATTTTAGCAAAGCGGAAGCATTAAGAGATGAATTTGAAAAGCTTGCAACTGATGATATGTTAAAAGAACCTATTCAAACTGAATTAAATGTTCTACGAACACAACAGGAGAAATTGAGAATCTTTCATGAAAAACTGCGGCCTGTTAATCAAAATTATGCAACAGTTCTGGAAAATTGTGATAAGCTTATAAAAAGTGCCGATGAAGGAGTATCTACAACAACACTGGTAAAGCCTTTCATAAACTGTGGTATTGGTCAATAGATAGTAGTCGATTAATTAATCCAATATGCAAGATATCTAGCATTTTGAAAGAATATAAACTGTACTGTACGAATATGTTGTAGTTATAAATTAAGCAATTTTAACATATTCATTACAGTTATTACAACCTGACACATTCCAAGTTTTAATATTTTTGAATTTAGGAAGAGGAGAAGAATAAACTTACCGGTGTTTGGAATGCTTTGAATAAGCAAATAGCTGATCGTGAACAACAAGTTTGTGCATCTTTGCAAGAACTTGGAAGTTACACTGATGCGCATAATGCGCTTCTTGTATGGCTACAAGATACCGAAGAATCACTTCAAAACCAGCGGCCGCCATCTATCGAATATAAAGTCGTTAAAGAGCAAACACGAGCTAATGATATTTTATTAAAACATATTGAAGAAAAACAAGAAAGGTAAATTATTAATATACATCTTTGATGATCAAGAAATAGAATAGCTATGATAAATTGGATGTGAAGTACAATTAAGAATAAAGCGCAGTATAGATATTTAGTAAATTCTATTCAAATATGGAATACACATACTATTCTCCTGATTATGCATTTATTATATATGCATGAAAGTGACCAATTATAATAACCGTGGGGTTTTAATGCTTCATTGAAATTAAACTCTCTTTTCAGTATTACCGTTGACATATTCTGCTTACTTCGTGTTAAAACCATATTATCTTTATTAAAAGATTAGTTTATTATGAAAACTATTTTTAGTGTCGATGGTTTCAAAGCACTGATCGATAAAGTTGTAGAACTTATAACAGATGTTACAAAACGTGAAACGTTGAAAGAGCAAGCAGGCAATATTACACAAAGGTAAACAGCTACTTTAATGTTTTTATTTAATTTAAATTTATTAATTTATCCAAATATTTTGCATAATGAACAGTTTTTTTAAAAAAACTTTATTAGTTATATTGACAAGTGATAGCTCGAAAAATATCGACTGCAGACAGTTAAATTGAATAAAAAAGAAATAAAAAGAAGATGAAATGATGTATCAAAACATATCGGTGGAAAGTTTCACTATAACTTCCCAGTCATCAAGATTTTTCAGTAGTTATATATCGGACGTGAAATGTGGACTTGTGTGAGAACTTATTTAAAGTAATGCACACTAAACATAATTTGTAGCAGCTTTTTCTATTTTTTAGAATTACATCTCTCTAATTAACGGAGCATGATAAATGGTGATATAGAAAAGATAAGGTATTGTGTCAGTGATGTATACAAGTTTTTAGCCTGCTTTAAAATATTTCCTGCTAATTGGATATTTATGAAATGAAACTGATCAATGCTTAGATATGTTGCACTAGTCGAAAACGCTCAAGATCGACGTAGATATTTACATGATGCGATTGTTCTAACCAAAGATTGGGCGCAGTTGTCGGGACCATTCAAAACATGGCTTGAAACAAATGAGCGTATATTACAAGAACTTGGACAAGTACCAACCGATGAAGAAAAATTTCAGCAACAAATTAACTTACATCAGGTTTACCTTCTTTCGCAGTACTTCGGTAATCTTCCCCTATGTTGTTTGTTTCATGAAAGTTATCCAAATTTTTCTCTTGATCAGGCAAGTAACAAAAAAAATGTTGTAGTTAGGTTGACAAAGAAATAAAAGAGAAGGCAGTCTTATCCTTGGCATTTTAATGTTTACAATTCAGAAATTGCAAGAAAATATCGAAATGAAACATATGGATGTGGAGAAAATGATGCAGCTATGTCCCCTTCTTGCTAGTTTAGCATCTGACGAAGAAGCTGCCGAATTGGAGACAACCTTCAAAACTTATATGATACGGTATGAAAATTTGGGTACGCGAACTGCTGAATGTGGAGTTTTACTACAGCAGGTAATTCGGGTGTTTTTTTTTCTTTAAATGTTGAATTATTAATTTGTTTTCCAGTTGTTATTCCTTAGAGAAGTAAATATATGATTTTAATTACTATTTCGAAAGAAGATACCTATTCGTAATTATGATGTAAGTTGAGAAAGTTTAGTTAAAAACATAACATATGCGGCAAAGTTGAGAATTTGTAATCAGAAAAGTAATGTATTTTTGATCACGTTATAATATCTGCATAACACAAAGAACACCATCTCGAAATTATTTCGGTGTTCATGTTCATTTTAAAAAAAAATTTTTTTTTAACATTGAAAAACCGAAACTGAAAAAATTTTCACTCCATTCATCGGGCTGCTAGAATTAAAAGTATAAGTTTCATATGATCTTAATTCATTTTTCAGATTGGTGAAGAAATAGCAAACTTTTTGAAACGTACAAATATACTAACGGAATGGTTAGATAAGATTGAGAATGATATGAACAAATTAGACGCAGTTTCGATCTATCCGGAAGAACTGAGCGAGCAAAGTGCCTTACTTGCCGATGTATGAGTGCACTGGCATCATAAACTTATATAATTTCAATAGTCATTAAGAATTCATTTTACTATACAGAAATCTGTGATAGAAACTTTATTGTTTTTTGAGAGATCATATATCATCGATATAGTGAATGATGAAATTATGAGGGAGAGATTTACAGTTAATCATTATATATGTTATTCAGTTTTTTTTATTTTAGCTAGCAGTGGAAATAACAAAACAGGAAGCTCTAGTTTCAATGGTCGTTGAAGACGGTCATGAATTATGTAAACAAACAACTGGTGATGAAGCAATTGCTCTTCAAAGTCGTATTGAAGCATTACGTACACGTTATCTTAATTTGACTGCTGTAACGGATGCAAAAATTGCTATTTTAAGTGAAGCTTTACCATTATCAGAGAAATTTCACGATGGCTATGATATTATACAGCAATGGATGGATGCTGTAGAACAAGATTTACAAATCGTTGGTCAGGTACTAACTATGAATTTATTTATAATTGGGCATGCAACATTTGTGACAGTCAGAAGAAGTTGCTTAGCAAGATTCTTTCACGAAAATTTTGTGATGATATTCAGTTACATTGTTTTGGTTAACTGATTAATCCTAGTAATGAAATTAAAACCAAAATTCAAAAATTTGATTAAAAAAAATTCGGTAATTGAAAATTTTGAATTCGTAGCTTAAAACATCATCTTTTTTAATTCAATAACTGTAGAATGAGCTGCAAATAATGTTTTCCGCCTCTCTATTAGAGTGAGATATAAAATTTTTGCAGAAATGAGTTCTGTCAACTATTGTGAGATACAAGTGAAGTTCAAAATTGAAACGTTTTTTTTTGAAAAAAAAATTGCGATAATAATGTAAGGTGTTTATCTTATTTCAGAATCCACTTGAAACTCAAGCAACAATATTAGCGCAAATGGAAGATGATTTGACGAAATTACGATTTGATGTTGAGGAAATTAGCGATATTTCAAAACAGCTTCAGAATCTCGTTCGTTTCAAAGCAGATGAGCTAGAAATACAGGCCGATGACATGACACGGAGATTTAATCACCTTGCTGAGCAGGTCAGTTGGATCTTTCAGCTGTATAGAATTTGAAATTTTAATTGATATTTTGAATGGAAGGTCATAAATTTTGTTAAATTTATAAATGAATTGCTTCTTCATGCTTTAAAAGTAGGAATTTTTTGAATTAAAGAATTATTGTGTTCAGATTTAGTTATCGTTCCTGTAAATAAATGCGAAATTTTCTTCAGATTACGCGTAAAGGCGATAAACTAACATCAGTTGAGAAACAAAGTCGACAAGTTTTAGATGAGTTAGATTATCTTAATGAATGGTTTGCTGATGCTCATGAACGTTTAATGCAGGTATTTTTGAATGACTTGGAATATTTACTCATAATGGTTCGCTACTTTTTAATTATTCGCCTACTGTAACCTTCTTGATTCGATTGTTTTTTCCAGACCTCTTTTTTATTAAAAAAATCTCAGAAGAAATTTTGTGTTTCAGTTTTTTTCAAGTGCTATTTTTGCAAAATTACTGAACAGTTACTTATAATAAGCTTGACCTCCCGTTATAGAGTGCAGCACCAGAAGTAGATCCAGACTATGTTAAAAAACAGCTTAAAAACCAAAAACAAATGAACGAAGATATTGCGGTAATGAAAGCACGACTGCGAGATGCAATTGCAGATGCACATAAAGTTGTCCGTGCTTTGGGTGGTGAAGCCAATGGTCAAGATTTATTGCTCAGAAATAAAATTGAGGTTAGTTAGCGCTAACGCTATTCTTAATTTAGAGCGAATAGAAAAGTGAAAAAAATAGTACTGATAAATGAGATGAAAACATTAAAGGTAAGAAAAAGTCACTAATAACGGTTGACTTTTTCATAGGTATAGCAAGTATGTATACATTAATAACGTATTATATTAATTCATTCCAGACTGGACGAACTCTTTCGGCTGATGTAACCCAGTTGGGTGATGAAAGATTAGCTAAATTGGAGCAAGCGTTAGCATTATGTCTTGAAATTGATCAATCATTTGGTGAATTGCATTCCTGGTTAGAAAGTATGGAAAGTGAGATTGAAAATTGTCCGCCCGTTACAACAGGACATCAACGAGATCAGTTAATGCAACAACAAGTTCACAATACTGTGAATTTTTCAATTTTATTAAACAGACTTTTATGCCCAATTGAAACAGTCCATCATATTAAGAGATCTTTAACTAAATTACATGTGCCTTAGTTAAATTACTTTTATTTGGGGTAATTGATAAAGCCTAGTGCATGCTTCTTGAGAGAGAGAAATATCTTGCATACATAAATTGTGATAAAGTGAACTTGTTGATTTTGAAGAACTCGATGAAACATTAAAGAATATGAGCGAAATGAGACATTTGTTTCAGTTATGAGACTTCTTTATGTAATAGTTCCAAATGTTAAATTTAATTATTTAAGTCCCAAAACTTTGTTCAGATTTAACTGTTTTGGAATAATCATAGTATTGATTCAGTTGTATTTATTCAGAAAAACATTAGTAAAATATTCCATTTTGAAGAAAATGGATAGATAATAGAAGTAATAAGCATTTAACTTTCGCTTACTTGATTCTAAATTTAAAAGATTTCTCATATTAAATCTTTTTTTTAGAAGCTACAACATTCGATCATATCACATAAACCATTAATGGATCGTTTTCACAAAAATGTCAGTGCTTTAAGTGAATTATGTGGTGCAGACGATGAAATACAACTTCAAAAAATAGCTGAAGGCTTGGATGAGCGATTCTTTGCTGCTCGAGATGCTGTTCGTCAGCGAGCCGAGGCACTTGAAACTGCAATTGAGCAAAGCAGTAAGTTCACAGACAGGTTGGATGTTGTCCTGGCAAATCTGGATGGTGCTGCTATGCAGGTATATTTTGATATTTACAGTAAAGTGATAAGGAAATAAAGATATTTTCTTATTTTTTATCATTCACTACTTCATCCACTAATTAGCTATTTGCGAATGCATTTGCTATAATGATTACAGATTCGAAATCCAGAACCAATACTGGCTGATCCAGAACGTATCAAATTGCAAATTATGGATAATCGCTCCTTAATGGAACAGCTTAAACATAAAGATGGTATATTGAGATCGGTGAAGGAGAATGCCGAAGAGATTTTGGTACATGCAAATTCAAATGATAGTGGAGCTGCAGGTTTTCATAGCATTAATATATAAAAATGACTAATACATATGTAATCAAACCTTTCATTAATAAAAGTTGTAAACAAAAAATGTAAAGTATAAAGTATACAAGAGATTGGAGTGAAATCGAATGGATTTACAGAGCATGTATGGAAATTTTGTAGTGGTAGTTGTGAGTCTTTTTTTTTGCAGAAATCAGTATTAAAATAAAAGAACTTGATGCATTATGGGATGAACTAATGAAAGGTGTTACGACAAGAGGAAATATCTTGGAAGACACGCTAGTTAAAGCAGAACGATTTTGCTATGAATTGAAGTCTTATCAGAAAGCAATTAACGAATTGCGTTTGCGCATCGAAGGAATACAACTTGCGTTTGGAGAGCCGACTGTTATTGAGCAGCAGCGAAATATCCTTCTAGTTTGTTGTTTGGTTATTTTACCAAATTTCCAGAGATTTTTTTTTACTAAATTTCATCTAAAAAGCCAGCATGTGTTACTGTAGCGCTGTGAAAGAAAATAGCATGAGAATCAAAATGCAATCAAATTATTATATTCTTATAGGCAATTAAAAATGAAATGCGAGAAATCAAACCAGAAATTATGGATAAATTACGTAGCACTGGGCGCGACCTTTGTGAAGTAGTTGCTGAAGAAGAAAAAGCTCATGTAGAACAGCAAATGAATGAAGTTGAAGGAGATTGGATTAGGGTAACTGGTATGTACGATCGGAAGTAAGTCTCAAATGGAGTTTTTTTATTATACTAATCAACTTTAATTAATTGTCTGGTTGAGTCAGATGTTTATAAAAGTATAACTTAGTGTTGTGGTATTATAATAACAAGATCGATATATAGATAATTTCAGGGAATCAGATTTGATTGATGCTATGGAAAAAGCAAGGCAATTCCATGATTTATTAACAGAACTAATAAATTGGGTAGGAGAAAGAGAAAGTGAAGTATTCAAATTAGATCCTAGTACCGTCGCATCATCCAATGATATTAGAAATGAGGTGCATATTTAATTTCAAATTTTATAAAATTTTACTTTCAAATTGTTAAACAAAGCAATTATTTAGAATTTTTGCTTATTTTTTGTTTTTTTAATTTCGTTCCAACATTTTATCTTTTACAGCTTGCCGCTCTGGGTGATTTACGCTCATTATTGGATGAGAAAGCTTTGGAGAAGGAACAGTTGAATCAGCTATGTGCAAGCCTTTGCGTTGGTAGTACTGCACAACAATCTGCAAACATTAGAGCACCGATCAATGACCTGAATATTCGCTGGAATAGAGTTAGTGTACATTTGGCTATTTAATTCTTTGTCATTAAATCATCAAAGGGCTTTATTCGTCCACAAAGTCTGATCTCACATCGCTGTCAACATTTTATTCGAAATAAGATCATTCATTTGTTCAAGAAATTGACTATGTCAATTATTTCTGTAATATCTTAGTAAGCAATTACAAAACCTTATGAATTGATATTATATAATAACTTGCAATTTTTCTCATACTTTGGCAATATAATTTGATTCTTTTACATTCAGAGTCTAAACATATCGATGTTGCTCTAAGCTGGCAGTGATATACTTAGCATGATTGAAAATTTAAATTTGAGATTAATGATAAATGATTTTATGTTTATTCAGGTTTGAAGTTTGCTATTATTAAAATGTTTTTTATACAAATTCAAATCGGTTTTTAATGAAACTTCCGGAATAATTGTAAAATAAGTGGTTTTTTTGAATAACCAGCTCTTCAGATCTTCATAAAGATGCTTTTGTCGGAGATTTAATCAGCAATTCTCTGGCAGTAACAGTTTCATATTAACTTGAAAAAGAAATTTTCAAGCCCAAAATAACAAGTCCAAACAGAAATAGCAAATTGTAGTAAAAAATTTTTGAGAAGCTAATTTAACATTTGAAAATGGAGGAAGAAACTAATCGTTATTATCTCCTTACCTCAAATGAGATATCCAATGATAAATTAAAAAGGTTTTTAATTTTAATTTGTCGTTTTAAATATGAATTAGAATCTTACGTTTTTCAGTTCTTTCGAAATATATCAGTGAGTATTCTATATCCTACCATAATGCATTAAAATTATATTAATCATGCATGCTTGAAAGAATTGAAATAAAAAGCATTATTTATCCTATGATACAATAGACGGTACAATAGAAGTATTTATTTGTATTTCTGATAATTTAGCTATATGCATTGTTAAACGAACGTCAACAAAAAATGGAAAAAGCATTGTTGGAAATGGGACAATTTTCGCAAGCATATGAACAGTTAATGATTTGGATCGAAAAAACGCAACATGTTTTGAATGAAGTTTGTTTCCTTCTTTTTCTTTTCAATTCTCTTTTCATAAAAATCAGAAAATCGAAAATTGAAAATTGCTATGAATTCATGTGCGAATATAGCAGAAAGTAAGGGACTGAATCAATAACTTTCTTGAATCCTTTTGGAAAATTATTTTTGCGGTATTTCATATACACTATCACATTATCAATTTTCTTTTTTCGTTTAATACTTTAGAAGTTTGCTTATGCTTGTTATAAATTTGTTGTGATGATTAAATAATTTCAGATCAATTCTCGACCAAACAGTATTAGAGAAGCAGAAGTGGAAGTTTGCAAACATAGAGTAATACAGAATGAAATTCTGGTACATGAAGCAAGCGTGGATACTTTGAACAGTGCTGCTAAGCGTATAATTGCTGCTGATCCAAGTGCTGCAAGCTCAACACAACCAATGATCGATAAGTTAAATTCAAACTGGCACATGTTAGTCGATAAATTGGAGGATGTTTGGGTACAGGTGATAATTATTCATATTGTTTCAATATTATTCCTAGAAAAGGATTGAGATAATTTTCACTGAATTAATGGGATTGATTTATTTGAATGTTAAATCTATAATCCAATTTAATGTTAAATCATCATTATAGTTTTTATTGACATTTATAAATTGATAATGCTTATTCAATGACAATTATATACTAAGTTTATTGCTTATAACTTACAAAAATTTAAATCATATCCATTTCTACTTTTTCTTCTCTTCTTTTCTCTTATCTTAGCTCTTATCACTTTTAGAAATCGACTATCCTTCGATAGTCCTGTTTTTAGCTTTCGGAATTTAGCACTGCAAAAACAACACTTAGAATTACAGTTGGATGATGCCCGGAAAGCTGCGGAAAATCTGGACAGTGAAGTGGATCGTTGGGCAATGTGGCTTCAGGATAAAGATGCGGATTTATCTCATATGAAACCAACAGGTGGTTTACCGGAAACTGCACAAGCACAACTTGATGATTTCTTCGTTTTAAAGGTATCTCCATTTCCTTAATCATTTTTTGTCCCTTCATTTTTTAGTCTATTTCTTTCTTTTTTAGGGATCTTTCTAAATTTCAAAAATTGCAGGCTGAAATTGAACAGAATCGACCTGCACTAGAAGCGCATCTGGAAACAGCAACAAAGTATCTATCGGATAGTGATCGAGATTCGTGGATTGCGCAACGGGGTGCGCAGTTGACGAAAAAGTGGATTCAGGTAAACAATCAGGAAATTTTCTTGGTTGGATTTTAATTTTAAGTAGATTCCTGATTGAAAATATTTCTTCATCTTAAAATAGATTGATAATAAACAATAAGTTATTTAACTTAATATTTAATATTTTATAATAAATTTAAATTATTTTCTCTTTGCAGATACAAGACAAGATTGGTGATAGAGAGCAGAAGTTGAGAATGGCATTGGTAGAGGCCGAACAGCTTCATTCTTCCATGACATCAATGAATGATTGGTTAAATTCAGCAGAAAGCTATTTAGGTTGTTTGGAACATGTGTCAAGAATACCTGATATTGTAGAAAAGCAGATGAATGAACATACCAAATTCCAAGCTGAGGTAAAATTTTGGATGGAAGCATGCAAATTGTTGGTCATGGATATTTATCTGATGAACCAATCGATAATTTAATATCAAATTTTTTTTAATGAACCGAGTTATAAAAAATGAACACAAATGATAGCAGTTTAGGTACCATTCCCATTACATTGATGTGTGTACCGTAAGTTGAAAATATAATGTCTGTTCTGTCACATCATTTTGAATTGTAATTTTACATTTTTCAGGTATCACACTATCGAGAATTAATGAGTGACTTGAACAGCAAAGGCACTAAATTACAGTATTATTGTGAAAAAAAGGATGCGATACCAATTAAGAATTTGCTTGTTTCGGCTAAACATCGTTTTGATAAAATTTCTTCGAGATGTGCTGACCGAATGAAGCAACTGGATCTCGCATTACAAGAAGCACGAGTTTACTTTGAATCGTATACCGAGATAATCGATTGGATAACTTCAAGGCTTAAATGGATTGATGATCAATATGCTCAGGTATTTGCTTTTATCTCTATATAAAAGTTTGCTTGGCATTATGCGTGAAAAATTCTCGGAATATTGATTGCGTTTACCGCTGTCAGTGCCTCAGTAAGATCGATCATTTCTAGAACAATAGGAAGAAAAAAAAATCGTATATTGATCTACGGCCACGTTTAGGTGTTGGCTTTCCGGCAATAGTGATTGTTTTCGATGAATAAATTCTTAATAAATTAATGGGATGTCTTATGATATCATTCTCTGCTTACCAGGAATTGAAGCTAAATGAAGGGAAAAGGAATTATGCTAGAATGAAAGAAAAATTGAGCTAAAAGATAATTCTGTTATAGCCTAACGTAGGAGGTATATGTTCAATTAAATAATTTTGAATTTCCAGTTTTTCAACTCTATTTCTATGATCCGTAATCATTCAGTGCAGTAATTTCATTTTAAGTATTCTATAGTCCTATTTTTTATTGGAATATTGGAAATCAGTTAAATCAGCGGAGCAAAATAAAAGAATCTATTCTTGAAAATACAAAATGCTCAGTTTTTCAACCATTACAATTTCTTCATCAATGTTATACAAAGAATTGTATTTAAAATCTTTAATACCATTGCTTTAAAAATAGTGACTGCCGGAGAAATGAGATGTCAATTTTACGGAAGAAAAAGAATAAAAATTCGTCGTAATAGACTGATAGAAAGGTAGAATCCTCGTTTTATGGGCAATTTTTATTGCATTTTTTGCTTCGGTAACAGAAAGCATTTAGTGATATAATTATAGGCAATATAATTATAAAAAAGTGTCGCTTTGAGTTTCAAATTAAAAGATTGTGTCATTTTTCATCAAGCAATAGTTGACATTTTTAATCGGTAAAAATAAGTATGTCAGTGTCAAAGTAAATCAGATTAATTTTCAATTATGCAAAAAAGTACTTTTTTTGTCATCGGTGAGTTCTGAAATTTTTGTTAATAATTAATGTTATAATTGCAGACAGCATCCGGTGATCGATTACGAATCGATTTAGAAAAACATCGGAAATTCCAGCATGAACTGACCGAACGACAAGGAGTTTATGAAGGAACATATAAACGAGGCAAGGCACTCTCGGAGCATGCACCACGGGAAGAGCAAGCAGGAATCGATCAGATGAATGAACTGTTGAAGGAGAGATGGACCCAGCTAATTAATGCGACGTTGCAAAAGTAATTTTCATTTTGATTTAATTGATTAGTTAGTTTGATTAATTCTATTTTGACTAATTAAGAATGAATTTAAGCGATATTGAATTAAATTTATATTTGATTCCTCACCATTATCTTACCATTATTTCTGCAATTCAGTTATTTTAGCCCATGTGGAAGTTCAACAGCTAAAACTGTGATAAGTTTATTCGTGAACTTAGATTACCACCAAGAAATGTGTAATGAAAGACCATTGTTCCCGTTGAGAATAGCAAAATTAATGAAGTTTCCAATTCAATCTGGCATATTACAGACAGAGAGCAATCGAGGATGCATTGTTGGCATGTGGACAGTTTGATGAGGCTTTATCATCACTCCGAGAATGGCTCGCAAAATCTTTGCCTGGTTTGCAGAATATGGAAGCTATTCCTGTATATGGTGATTTGGAAACTGTTAGCAAATTACGCGATAAGCATAAAGAATTAAAGGAACAAATAGATACTCATCGAGATACATTAAACTCGGTGAAGGAACGTGCGCAACAGGTTTTTATTCAGATATTTTCATTTCATGAGATACATTTTATTATATTCATCGTTCTGTATAATTCGATGAACAAAATTTGATCTTTACTGTAAAAGTTTCAGATGTTGGAGAAAGAAACGGATGATTTGTTGGATGGCCTGAAAGAGAAGGTAGAAAAGGTAAATGAGGATTGGGTTCTTCTAGAGGAATTGGCAAAGAAAAGAGAGGAGCAGCTGGAAATTTCTTACGACATTGCCAAGAATTTCAGTGATGAAATTCATGAATTTCTAGATTTTTTGCCAAAGATTGAAGCAAGATTAAGAACTAAGGTATGTTTTTCTATTATTCCCTTTTAGTTACATACAATAAATTGATATTTCCTTCAATTTAGATTGTGATATTTTCGGGACTGGATAATACCGATCCTAAGTTAATCTCGTTTCTCGGACTACATGTTATTGATTCCGATGTATACTGGATACTACGAATGCGCGTTATAAGTGAAATCTAAGACATGTAATCCAAGAAAGAGAGATAAAAGTTATTTAAAATTAAAAAACATGACGAAGTATTGCGTATTATAATTAAATACAGTTCTATAAAGCATTGGCGGATAATTGCTGGAAACGGGATGCAATAAATGATGTATGAAGAATGGATATGAGTGTTAATCATACTTTCAGAGTCAAACAGCTGAAGGTGAAAGTGAAATTTTGGAACAAATGGACGAAGTGGCACAGCTGAATAAAGAAATGGATGATAAAAAGCCATTAATGGAGTCCATCAAGAAAACTGGGGAGGATATACAATCCAAGTGTCATCCCTCTGCAGAACAACCAATGAAGTATTGGTTGAAAGTGTTACAAAATCGATGGTATGAAGTAACGAGTGCTGTCGACAAAAAGAGGGATGATTTGGAGATGGTTAGCGTTGAAATTATTATACAGAAACTTGCTTAGTTATTTAAATTTAACCAGAATCTCTCAAGTTGACTGATTTTTAGTTGATGAAACTTAAGAATCATTAAAATCTCGATTTTTCAAATTCGAAGTTCAAACTGAATTATGATAGTTATTTTTTAAAAGGGTTCGAAAGAGAAATTTTGAAATTTCTTTACCATGTTTTTGTTTTTCTAAGTGTTCTCCAGTTTTAGCAACTCAATGAACTTCATGCGAGAGAGAAAATGACCACTGATTTGTTGAAATATATTGAAGAAAGAAGTGCTGAACTAAAGATATTAAATGAGACATCGTTGCCGCAGGAAATGGATGCTCTTGACAGGTCCATTCTCTAATTTTTAAAATATTGAGCTACTGATAAACGTGAATGAAGGTGGTATTAATGGGCAGCAAGGAGCGACGAATCTAATTTCATGAATTTTACTGATTACTTATGATTTTAGACTTATTGTGGATCATGAACAATTCGAGAAAACTTTACGGGAAAAACAAGGACTAGTTGATGAGGCAACAAGAAATCGACGAAAGCTTGATGTAGAGGAGAAAGTGAAAAAGAAAGGTGGCAAAGCACTTCAAAGGTATCGATTCAGGTTGTAATGGTTATGGCATTGCTGCATTGATAATTGTTATTCTTTATTAATATACAGTTATTTTTCAGGCATGAACATCGTGTACGACATCCGAAATCCGAGCAGCTCTCTAGCCGATGGAAAAAATTATGGATAGATTCAATGGATTATGGCCGCCAGTTACGTGAAATGAAAGATTATTTGGAGGAGGTTAAATTTTTTGCCTTTTTATTTATGGTTCTCAATTTTCATTTCAAATCTTTTATCAAAATTATTTTTTCTTCATTATGATATCACTGCTCGTATAATCTGTTATCTTAGCCATTGGATATGGATTTTGGTTTGTGGAATTTCCACTTAGAATTAAAAAGGCGGTAGTGATTTTACAGTGAAGAAGGGAAAAATAGGCTTTAGGAGAGATTAAAATCACGATTAATATGATTTCATTAAGTGCTTTATAATCAAGTTTTGGATCCCTCTTTCTATGTCCGAAGTTTAAAATTGATGAAGTCATCTTTCTTGATCTACCTTTGTTTCGTTATTGTTCTTCATCATCATCTTTTGGAACTAAATAGTCAAAATTTTCAAAAATTTAAGGTAAAAAGATTGGAATCGTTTTCGTTCGAGGAATGGCGTGAACGGTATTTGGAATGGACTGATTCTGGAAAAGCTCGAATTTCTGATCTGTTTAGAAGAATAGATAAAAGTGGAACTGGACGAGTGCCACGAGCTGCTTTTATTGATGGTATCATAGCTTCCAGTGAGTCTTTTTTCGATCATTTATTTTATACTTATAGCCTTTGTTGAAATCCAAAAAAAAAAGAATTCAAATTCTATTTTAGAATTCCCTACCACTCGATTAGAAATGGAGAAAGTTGCGGATGAGTTTGACAAAGGTGATGGAATGATTGATTCAAAAGAATTTATGGCGAAACTTCGTTCCGAGTTTTCAAAAGTAGATTTTTACGGTACTTTTAATGAAGAAATAGTTCATTTGATACTCTTGATAAATTGCAGTTTTACCGATTTATCATCTCCTTAACTTTTTATTCTGTCCAGAAATTACCGATGAAGCAAAAAACGGATAGTGAAAAGATCACAGAAGAGGTCGTAAGGCAGACGGAGAGATGTAACTGCATTAATCGATATAAGATTCAGAAAGTAGGCGATGGACATTATCGTGTAAGTTTTTTTTACTAGCCACATGTTCTAATCAATTGGAATATTCTATGAACTTAGTTGGTGATTTCTTTTTTGATAAATAGTCGTGAAGTGCAAAGTGAATAGTGATAGGAATTAGAACTTGATGAATTCACGTTTCGTGGTGGAAGAAATTAATTTAAATGTACTTCTTTTAATCTTCGCTCACATCATGGGAGATGTTATTAGCACTGTGTTTTGTATTAGATCATCAAATTTTTTTTAGTTCGGCGAAACGCAAATTAAACGTATGGTCCGTATTCTTCGATCGACAGTTATGGTCCGCGTTGGTGGTGGATGGGTTGCTTTGGAGGAATTTCTACATAAACATGATCCTTGTCGTGGTGAGTGCCAACGAATTTTCTGCATATGTATGGAATACTTTATATATTTACAATTTTTATATATTTCTTTATATATTTACAATTTTTTTCATACTTAAAACTCATTTCGCGGTATAATTTTTTAGCTAAAGGACGAACGAATCTCGACCTGCAGCGCAATTTCTATGACGATGTTCGACCCAAAGATGCATACGATATGATGGAAACATTCACTAAATCGGCCAGATCAACACCAAATCGTGATTCACCGATTCGTGGTTTTCAGGAATCATTGTTGCAATCTCGTTTTCAGGCAACTCCCGGTCCAATTACAAAAGTAACTATACGTTCGATAGCAAATTTTAAAAATTAATGGAACTCCGTTTGTGATTTTTCATTAGCTTTAAATTGTATGAAGGTAATGTTGCTGTAATGTGGAATCAAGTTCAGATCAGGGAAAAGACAGAACGTAGTATGCCAATGTACGTCAGTGGACGTTCACCAACCATCTATCGTAATTCACCACTTGATATATCGAAATCAAGTAGAAAACCAAATGAATTGAATGGACAAGGTTATTTCTTAAATTATTTTTCCGGAAATAATTTTCATCTACCTAGGATAGAATATATTTACACAATTGTTTCGAATTTTTATTCTTGCATAAATTGTCATTTTTCACCATTAAAATAAACTACTTAAAAATTGTCGCTATTTATTGTTATGACAAATTTTAGATTCAAAAATCAGACGGCCAGGCGCTTCAGGAACTGTTTCACGCTCAGGATCTCATAGTGATATGTTAGATTTGTCACGACCGGTAAGCCGAAGCTCAGATGTTTCAGTAGATGGAGATCGACCAACACGAATACCTTCGTTGCGTGGTCGAAAAGGTGTCAATTATCGATCATCACTTGCACGAGCAAGTGCTCAACCACGTATATAAAATGAACTTTTTTTCCACATTCATCTAAAAGAAGAAGCCTTTGGAAAATGCAATCAGTCCTATTTCCGCACAGTTTTGTTGTATTTTATTATTCATGCAGTTAAACAGTTTAAACACGTCTATTTTATTTTTCATTTTCGTCCATAACTAAAGAGCAAGTCACTTATTTGTGTTATTGTTATTATTTAGAATGCCTTTTTTATCTGTATTACAGTTCTTTTCTCATTTGCATATCTAAGTGATTGTTCGGGTATCTGTCTATGCCTATCATATGAACACTCATTATGCATTTTAATTAAATCTGATAATGTACAATATGACGGATTTATCAATGTTCGAAAGCTATTCTATGAAGCAGTACTGACAAAATAGGATAGTTCGCATAATTTTTTTTAAACAAAATAATGTACAATGATATGAGGTTTATGCTGTACTGTTTATGTATTATTTGAAAGATTGCTGTGACCTGAAATTATTAATTCAATTTTTCGCGGGACCTTTTATGCTTTGTTAATTTTTCCACGTGTAGAAATTGTTTCGTGTCTTTTATTTCAAAGTGCTAATTGGTTAACTATTAGACTGTATCGGCTGTTTATTGTTTTTGCTCATTAAAATCGTTTCAACTTGTTATACAATCTTCTTTTATTATGTTATTATTTTGAACTTGCTGATGATATCTTAATCAAATTTGGAGATAGTTTGCGATATTCTTTATTACGCCTTTTTTATTTCTCTGATTTTAACTGCGACATAGAACAATGGATATTGGAGTAAATATTGATTTCCGGTATATATCAATCTTTTGGAAAAAGTTGAGAACGATATCGTTTGAGGTATTGGGAGCCAGTTAATATAATATATCAGCTACGCTTTAAATCAAAATTTTTTTAAGAGCAGTGATATCAATGAACTATTTAAGAAATTCTCTAAAGCAGTAGGAAAATGAAAATCAAAAAGATGAATTCGAAGAAGGCGTCAGAGGCAATTTATAATAAGCAGAAAGCTGTTGCTGAAAATTTAAATGATAATTGAAAGTTCAAAAAATGATTGGGAGATCTGAGGGAATCTTTTAAATTCAATGAAAAACTAAAAGGCAAAAAAATCAGCAATGATTAATGCAGAAATAATATGCCGATCATTCTTATGATCGGCATATTATTTACCATATATTATTTACCATTTACCATAAATGAAAGGTCATATTATTTATCTGAATTCTGGGAATCTCTTAAAAATAGACTTAATCCATTCAAATTCCCTCCTAAGATTTCTGGAAGAGAATCAATCATCCCTCTTCGGCAGTAATAATACTCCAGGAATTAAATTGTGGATAATGGATTATTCGTTCTTTTATCTATCTATAAGAAACATCTTTACAAATATGTACAAACACAACAATATTTATCAAAAATTATACGCCTATACAACTTGATACTCATCAGTGCTGAAATTCTCGGCATGAATCCATTTCATTCCTATCTTGCACATATCAACCGATTTACATTTTCTTATACGCCACCTAAAAAATATTGCTAATCAGACGTAAAACCGTAAATTAATGATATTCATCAATTAATTTGAAGCCAATTAATCCTAACTTTCCCAGATCTTTCCCGCTATATCTATCATGAGCTTCCTGAAATGCATTCACAAATTTTCATATTATCTAGTCGAAGTCATTCCTTCCTCTGTTAATTAAATTATCAATTGTCAATCAATCATTCAAATATCTTCCAGAACGAATTCCATCATTGATGAATTATTTATCACATTCACGAATGGAAAAAGAAACACTCACCGACTAATGCATTTGGCAATTTTTATTTGCGACATTCTATCAATTTTCATTATTTTATTTTTGAACAATAATTGGCCTATTTCACGATAAGCTCTCTTTAGGACCGGCAAAGTATGGTCAAAAAAATACGGCGCAATGGTAACGTTGTTTAGGGGAGGATTAGTTTCAGACCATTTGTAAGATGAGTGTAATAGAATAATCTCGGATGAATTGAGCTAAAAATGGGTGAAATTTAGTAGTGAAAAGAGAAGCATGGACATATCGTAAAATGGATTTAACGAAATATCGAAAGATGCTGTATTCT